TCTTTCTTTCTTTCTTTCTTTCTTTCTTTCTTTCTTTCTTTCTTTCTATCTACCTATCCATCTATTCTTTTATTATTCTATCATCTATCCACTATTTATTTATTAGCTCATCTGCCCTTCTGTCTGACCAGCCATTATTTCTTTCATCTGAATACTTATTTATCACCTATCCTTTCTAATTAAATGAAATTAATTTTATTTTATTTATTATAATTTATTTACTTTGTATCCTGGCTGTGGCCCCCTCCCTTGTCTCTTCCTAATCTCACCCTCCCTCCCTCCCTCTTCTCCCCCTATGCCCTTCCTCTAGTCCACTGATAGGGGAGGACCTCCTCCCCTTCTGTCTGACCCTAGCCTATCAGGTCTCATCAGGACTGGCTGCATTGTCTTCCTCTGTGGTTGGCAAGGCTGCACTCCTTCCTCCAGGGAAGGTGATCAGAGAGCCTGCCATTGAGTTCACGCCAGAGACAACTCCTGTTCCCCTTCCTAGGGAACCCACTTGGAGACTGAGTTTATGGACTATATCTGAGCCAGGGTTTTAGGTCCTTTCAATGCATGGTCCTTGGTTGGGTTATCAGTCTCTGTAGGGCCCCCAGGGCCCAGTTTTTTTGCTCTGGTCTCCTTTTGGAGCTTTTGTCCCCTCCAGGTCTTTCTATCTCCTCCTTCTTTCATAAAATTCCATGCATTCTGCTCAAAGTTTGGCTATGAGTCTTAGCCTCTGTTTTGATATCTCAATCAGTAGAGTCTTTCAGAGGCTGCCTGTGGTAGGCTCCTGTCCTGTTCCCTGTCTTCTCCTGCTTCCAATGTCTACTGCGATTGCCTTTCTGAATGAGGATTGAGCATCTTCCTTGTTGTTTAGCTCCTTTAGGAGTATAGATTTTAGTATGTTTATCCTATATCATATGTTTAATAACCACTTACGAGTGAGTATATATCATATGTGTCTTTCTGCTTCTGGGTTACAATAAATAGGCCCACATGAAACTAAAAACCTTCTGTAAAGCAAAGGATACTGTCATCAGAACAAAACGACAGTCTACAGATTGGGAAAGGATCTTCACCAACCCTATATCTGACAGAGGGCTGATATCCAGAATATATAAAGCACTTAAGAAGTTAAACACCAACAAACCAAGTTATCCAATTAAAAATGGGGTACAGAGCTAAACAAAGAATTCTCAATAAAGGAATATCGAATGCCAGAAAAACACTTAAAGAAATGTTCAACATCCTTAGTCATCAGGGAGATGCAAATCAAAACAACCTTGAGATTTCACCTTATACCCATCAGAATGGCTAAGGTCAAAAACTCAAGGGACAATATATGCTGGAGAGGATGTGGAGAAAGGGGAACCCTCCTCCATTGCTGGTGGGAATGTAACCTTGTACAACCACTTTGGAAATCAATCTGGTGCTTTCTCAGACAACTAGGAATAGTGCTACCTCAAGATCCAGCTATATCACTCCTAGGCATATATCTGAAAATTTTTATCTTAATTCATCAGCTTTACGTCCTGACTACAGTTTTTTATCCCCTTCTCCTCACAGTCCTTCCCTCCCACCTGCCTGACCCACACCTACTCTTCTTCTTCTCTCTAGAAAAGGGGAGGCTTCCTATGGATGTCAACCAGCCCTGGCATATCAAGTTGCAGTAAGACTAGGCGCATCTTCTCCTATTGAGGCTGGACAGAGGCAGCCCAGTAGGGGGAAAGGGTCCCAAAGGTCGGCAACAGAGTCAGAGCTAGCCTGTGCTCTCACTGTTAGGAATTCCACACGAAGACCAAGCTGCACAACTGTTGCATATGTGCAGAGGACCTAGGTCAGTCATGTGCATGCTTTCTGGTTGGCAGTTCAGTCGCTGCAGGCCTCTATGGGCACTTATCCTTTCATACATTTATTCAATGGGGTGTTTTCAGGGAATCACTGTTGATTCTGGAAAATATGGATAATATGATTATAGTGCCTACCATTGGGAAGCTCACAGCCTAATGACAATGTGTTATCCAGTGCCAAGAATGACATGGCCTATCTGTGCTGTGCATTGGTATTGCCTTGGAGCTAGTTTTGACCAAACCACTGGAATAGAAGATCTGATAAAGAAGGGAGTCTGCCTGTATCATAGCTACAGGGCCAGTGCCTGGCGCACTGTAGGTGTCTGAGAAGTTTCTGTTGGGTGAAGCAGCTCAAGGGCAGGATAGGCTCAAGGGATGATCAGACCAAACTTTCTTGGAAAAAGCCCATGGTTTTGGGTTTGGACCTCTGTGTGGAGAAAACTTATCAATTCTCAACCAGGATGTCTTGAGGCTGAGTGTCTAGTAAATGTGTTTGGAACCTCTGAGTCAGGCTGCCACAGTGGAGTGGGGACAGCTCTGGAGTGGTAGTTCAGGATATGTTAACCTCCAATGTTAAGCTCCAATGTCCACGTTATCTGGACAGCTTGTAAGTTGAGGGTCTTGGAGTTGCCTTGGCTGGGAATCATCTGGCCCAACAAATATCCTATCTGCTGAGGATTCCTGGTCCAAAGATAGAGAGCACTCACCTTGAGGTGAGAGTTTGACCAGAACCTAAGCTTTGGGTCCCAGCCTAATGTTTTCTCCTCCCCTTGTTTTCTCTTTTAATGTTTCATCACTTTTGAAGTATTTTCTTTTAGGTAAGGGCCAGAATCTCAATCTCTCTCTCCCCACTCTCTCTTTACTATACTTCTTTCTCTCTCTCTCTCTTCCCTCCTATGCCCTGAACAAGTTCCTACCTGTATCCCAGACTGACCTTGAGCAAATGCCTCAGGCTCTTGAGTGCTCCATAGTGGAGCCGCCGTCCTGGCAGACGCTTCTCTTGATGCTCAGAAGCCTGGGGTTCAGAGGAAGGCCAAGGTGTCCTCTGCTCCATTCACCTCTCATTCGTGGGTTAATTATGAGCTTTAGGTTTGTCTGTGCCTGAAGTGAGGAGAGGGACTTCCCAGGTCTCCAGGGTTCTCTTGTCTGCCCCTACTGGTTGTCAGTCAACCCCTGCGGTACATCCCACTGGAAGCAGGCCCAGAGGACTCAGCGGGAGCAGGGCTGCGCCCGCCCACTGCGGTGTCAGTTATCAGCCTGGACAGCGGGGAGCAGGTTCTACAGCCAACTCGCGTCTGCCCTGGGGGAAGGTGCTTACTCACCCTTAGCCTCAAATGCCTTGTCGGTAGACTGGGGCCCTGATCACAGCCTGCTGCTCTTCTTCCTGAACTTGAGATGGGTGGAACTCGCACTTTGGAACATCTTTTGTTCTGGCCTTGGGACAGACTCTGGCAACAAGGGTGTTTAAGAACCTCGTGCCTGCAGTCAGGCCTGCTGCCCAGGTCGCATTGCTGGCAACAGCTGTGGCAGGGTTGGGTGTACTGCGACTGAATTCACCCTCACTGGTCCTCACTTTAATGTCACCAGAAGACTCGTCTCCCAGTGTGTGACTTGGGTGTCCCAGGTCTGCATTTGTGGGTGTGGCTGGGTGTGGCTGGGTGTGGCTGGCATGTCTTGGACAGAGTGTCTGGTGTTTCTTGAGGCAGCATGTGTCTCCCATTCCTATGTGTCTCTCCTGAGGAGAAAGCCAGTCATGTCCTTGTTGCTCTCCTCCACTGCCTGGCAACGTTTTCTAACCACACTCTCTCCTTTCTTTGTCGTTATTTTTTTTTTGGTAGTGTGTATCAATTGCACTGTTAGGGGCTTCGTTATGACATTCATGCAATGCACATAGTGTACTTTGACGAGAGTCTTTCCTCTTGCTGCTTTTTCTCTTTTAAAAATAGTTTTGAACATTTATTTTTTCGTATGTGAGTATATATTTATTATGTGTACGGGCGTTTTGCCTACATGTATGATTGTATACTATGTGTGTGCAGTGTTCACAGAAGCCAGAGAGGGAAGATACAGGATCCCCGAGGACTGGCATTACAGATAGTTGGGAGGCTCCATGTGCATTCTGGGAACCAAACCTGGGTTCTCTGGGAGAGCATCCAGTGCCCTTAACCTCTCAGCCATCTCTCCTGCATCCTAGCTATTTTTTTGTTTTGAGACAGGGTTTCTCTGTGTAGCCTTGGCTGTCCTGGAAATCTGTAGACCTGTAGGCTGGCCTTGAACTCACAGAGATCCGCCTGCCTCTGCCTCCTGAGTGCTAGGATTAAAGGTGTGCTCCACCATGTCTGACTTTCTTATTCTTATTCCTTTTCCTTTTACTATTACCCTTCTATATCCCCAGAATTTCTATTTGTAGTTTTATGTCCCTTTTCTATCTTCCACATATTAGAGAAAACATTATATTTTGTGTTTGTAAGTCTGGCTTATTTCACTTAGGCTGAGCTCCAGTTCCAAACATTTTCCTGAAAATGGCACAGAATCCCATTCTTCATGGCTGAATAGAACACTGTTTTATAGAATACTGCATTTTATTTGCTCATCCGTGAGTGGGCAGTGTGGCTGACTCTATAACTTGGCTATTTTGAATAGTGATTCAATAAACATGGATGTGCAGGTGTTCTTGTCGGGAGCTAGCTTGGATCATTTTTGCTATGGATTTACAGATCCAGCCAGTATAGCTGGCTCATGGGGGGGGGGGTTCTACTTTTAAAGTTTTGAGGTGGCTCTAGAGGCTGTGAGAATTTACATTCCCTGCATCAGCATGTAAGGGCTCTTCCTGTCCACCTCTATTCTTGTCGCCATTTGGTGTTGCTTCTTACCTTAATGGGAGCGATTCTCACATGGTAGTCTTGCTATGAAGCACAGGCTGGCCCCAAACCTATGATCTTCCTGACTCAGCCTTCTGAGTAATGAGATTGGGAGCACATGCCACCACACCTGGTCTGGGTTTTTCTTCCTGGAGGGGAATACTCAGCCTTGGCCCCTGGCCCCTTGAGTCCTCCGTGCCCTAGACTAGCTTTCTCAGCCATTTCCTGTTGTGACAAAGAGACTAATGGACAAAACAGAGCAGCCAAGGTGATACTGGAAGGCCTATGTGGATTTGAGTCTAGAGGCCCCCTCTAAAAGGCTCAACCTTCAGGCCCAGGTTCCAGGAGCAGCTAGATGGCATTGGGAACAGAACCCAGCTCCTGTTGCCATGGTCCGATCTTCAAAAGACCTGTGGACAGCTGCAGATCCTCAGGTGCTGGGCTGTCATCAGTGAGCTTCTTTGAATCATCCACATGGCACTTCTAGAAACAAGAGCCAGCTTAGAACCAGGGTTTATTCCACCCTGGAGAGTGAGGCTAGGGCACACAGGCTGAGGGCTCAGTAGGAGTGGGCTCTTTGTGGAAAGGCTGTAGGACGCTAAGGCAGACAGGCCCTACCCCAGTTCTAATGGCCATGATTGGGTGTTCCTCAGTGCACACTTCTTCCTGGAGATAGAAGGCTTTGAGCCCAACCCCACAGTCACCAAGACATCTCCTCCCATCTTTTCCAAGCCAATGGACTCCAACATCCGGCAGTGGTGAGTACTGGCTGCTGGCTTGGACACATGGCTGGGCCTGGTTGTGGCATGGGAGCACTGTCCATTTCTAAATTAGTCCTACTTTCTTCTCTTTCTTCCTTCTCTGCCATCTCCAGCCTCTCTGGCAACTGTGATGACATGGACTCCCCTCAGTCTCCTCAGGATGATGCGACAGAGACCCCATCCAATCCCAACAGTCCAAGGTAAGTGTGGCCCTCCCCCTTATCTCACTGTTCTCAGCAAGGAGAGGCCACACAGGAAAGAGAAAAAAGTCATCTTCCCTGGGGAGCTGGGACAAACATCTGGAGGCCTAGGCCACGGCTGTGGCACATTTTGTGTTGTGGGGTGAAATATCAATCAATTATAAAACGATATCCCTTTATTATAAAGCCTTAAAAGACAAGAGAACAACGACTTTAGCACAAGTTACACAAGTCAGTAAATAACTTAAAAGCTCTTTACGCAGGGCTTCAATATGCATTTTTGCAGGAACACATACAGGTGTAAGGGGGCACATCTGCATTCAATAATGGTCTATTTGGAGTGTGGGGGCTGGGAGGGATAGATGAAAAAGTTTAGATAGGGAGATGAAAAGGAACTTTCTCTTCCCTGAGTTCTGTATTTCAAAGTAACGGCCACAATACAGGCATCCATTCTTGATCACCCTGTATGTGTGCAGGTGTGTTTTGGTCAGTGTGATTGCATATGGACTGGAAGGGAAGTCTGGTCAGGCAGCACAGAGTGCAAGCATGGGCATTGTCAAAGACACGGGAGGCATAGGGGCTGGAGCAGTGGCCTGCAGACCAGCAGCTCTGGTGGTGAAGGGTAGGAGCTCAGGCAAACGCCGGCTGAATTCACAATGCCTTCTAGCCTCAGTGCAAACCTGGCCAAGGAAGAGCAGAGGCAGAAGAAGAAGCGGCTGAAGAAGCGCATCTTTGCCGCTGTGTCTGAGGGCTGCGTGGGAGAGCTGCGGGAACTCCTGCAAGAGCTGCAGGATCTCTGCAGACGCCGCCGTGGCCTGGACGTGCCTGGTCAGTGCTCGCCCCTGCCCAGGGTGCTGGCCCGGCACAGGTTGGCTTGGCCTGGCCCCTGCTCATTTCCTGTAGCACCAGAGCATGAGGCACTTTGGATATTGGGATAGCACCAAGCTTGACTTAGAGGGTCATGGGGAGTCATGGATGGGCTTTGGCAGGCAGAGGGCATAGTGTGAGTATTGTGTGTTGCTATTCAAAGGGTATTGGGACCCTGAAGCCGGCCGCAGTGAGGAGGAAGAGTTCTGTAGATTCCCTCATGCACTGACAGGAATCGAGGGATTTGGGGGGTTCATAGCTGTCTGAAGATCAAGAAGAGGAGCAGGTTGATGGGGAGGTGATGAGTTATACTTTTCAGCCACTAGGAGGGTGGTGATATCAGCATTAACATGAGCTGGAAGCTGGGCAGCTGGACAGCCGGGCATCTGGTGATATTGTCTGCCCTCCAGAGAGAAGGTGCAGAGCTTAAAGAACAGGAGGCCTTGGATGAGGCTTTTGTAGGTGGCCAAGAGCTGTGAACAACAAACCAGGAAGGGAGCTGGAGGAGGGGCTGAGGAGAGGAAGAAGGAGTTCCCGGTATCACAGGGTTGGGGGTTCCCAGCGCAGGGTAGCAGGCAGGCTTTGAGCTATGAGGCTGCAGCTTCCACACCCTGTTCTGTCTGGGAGGCCCAGGGCAGCCAGTCTTTCCTTCCTGCCCCTGCCTTTATTCTTGACTCTGTCTGCAGACTTCCTCATGCACAAGCTGACAGCCTCAGACACCGGGAAGACCTGTCTGATGAAAGCTTTGCTCAACATCAATCCCAACACCAAAGAGATCGTGCGGCTTCTGCTCACCTTCGCCGAGGAGAATGACATCCTGGACAGGTTCATCAATGCGGAGTACACAGAAGAGGCTTATGAAGGTAGCGGGAGAAAGAGGCAACCCAAGGGCGAGGGAGGAGGCTGGGATTTCCCTAGGGGTGTGTGGCTACAGAGCCACGCCCACCTCGCCCCACAGAGGCACTTGAGCCACTGGAGAAGCCAAATATGAGAGACACCCCTCTCACCCATGCTTTTTTGTGTAAATGACGCTGAGCGTGGGCGAGCAGAACAGGGACCTGTGCTCTAAAAAGGCAACTTTAGACAATATGCTAGGGGCAGAAGTAACCAGGTAACGTGACTGTCTGAACGGGGTAAGCAACTGTAGAGGGGTGGGTGGCCTTGACCAAAACCTTAGCTGACGGGAAGGACCCAGAGCAAGGCCAGGGTGAGAGCCTCAAGGTGGGCATGGGCTTGGTGGGTTTGACACTGAGAAGACTGCTGGGGTGTAGCTCAAGTGAGGAGAGCTTCCCTAGTATGTGCAAGACACTGTTAGAGCATCCAGAACCACAAACAACAAACAAACATGAAGCCTGGAGATGAGGCTGGAGAACCAGGCAGGGACCGCAAAGGCAGTGGTCAGTGTTGCAGTCACCAGCGTTAGAAGCTGTCCCATGCAGTCTAGTTTTGTGGAACCAGGGGATATAATTTAGTGCCTGTTTCCTTGCCCAGGAAACCCACTATGGGCAGTTAATGGCCTATGTCCGGAGAGTCTTTGGAGTCAGTGAACAGCTTGTCACAGTTAGCAGGAAGTGATCAGCTCATGATCAGTCAGCCATCTTGCTGACTTGCCAAGAGGTATAAACACCCCAGCTTTTCCAGGTGAGGGTTTAGATGGGGTCTTGAACTCTCCTTATGGGGAAAGCAATCTTGATTTGTTGTTTGAACACTACAGACTTTCAAAAGGGAAAGTCAGGACACTAAGGAGGAGGGGCAGGGACCCCAGGGAGGAATGGCTGTGATTGACAAGCTCCCTGGGATCAATGCAAAGAGAGAAAACAAACCATATCCTGTTCTCAGCCTGTCACTTGAGGGCCCATACTAGTGCCACAGAATTTCAGACTAGTCCAGAGGCTGGCCTGTCTTAACTCTCCCCCCTTCCCTGCCCATTTCTGTACTTTTCTTTCTCTTTGTTTATGTTTGGGGTCCCATGGTCTCCCCACTGCTGGCCCAAGACCCTTCTAATTTTGGTGTGGCAGTACTGGGAAGTGCTTTTACCATGAAGCTACTCCCTGACTCTTCTTAAAAATTTGAGATAGGGTCTAACTAAGATGCTCAGGCGGGTCTTGAACTCACTTCACAGCCCAGGCAGCCTTGAACTTGTGATCTTCCTGCCCCTGCCTCTTGAGTAGCTGGGATTGTGGGCCTGAGCCACTAGGCCTGTCTAGTGAGGTCCTTATGAGGGCAGGAATGGAGTCTGTTACTCATGATCGATTTCCCTGGTGTTCTTAGGACCCCACACTGGGGAGGTTTAGCACATTTTTGGTAGAGTTAACATACTAACCTTCTGCTCTTCTGTCCTGGCCACAAACCCTGCTCCTTCTCAGGCTTCCCCAGCCCCTTTACCAAGCCCTTGCTGTGGGACTTGCAGCAGGTCATGGGCACTCCTGCCCTGGCTTTCTCCATGGCAGGGTACAGCTTTTCCCTGGGTTCCCAGAACCCAGTTGGTATCAACATGGCGTTTTCCTATGTGGTATCTACCTACATGTAGGCTCCAAGAGTAGTTTAAGGTTGTCCCAGGCTCTTGAGCGCCATGCCGGTTCTGTTTGCAGGACAGACGGCACTGAACATCGCCATCGAGCGGCGCCAGGGGGACATCACAGCAGTGCTCATAGCAGCAGGCGCTGACGTCAACGCTCACGCCAAGGGGGTCTTCTTCAACCCCAAATACCAGCACGAAGGCTTCTATTTTGGTAGGTGACCCCGCGGGGGTGGGAGATGGGGCATGGGGAAGAGGCCTTCTGCCCTATGTTCTGCTGCGACTGGTCCTGCCACACGGGGGCGCTGCAGGACAGAATCAGCCCCTCCCGATCAGAGTAGGGGCTGGTGCTGATCCATCCAGACGGACCACCCCTGGGGTAGGAGAGCCTGCCTGACAGTGCCACCTGGCAGCAGTGGGGCTCACACCTGCAGGGAACAAAGACTTGGGGTGGGGTGCGTGCATTCGTGCGGGTATGCGTGTGTAAAGTGTGAAGGGCACAGTCCCCAGTGAGGAGAGTGGGCGGAGAAGAAAAGCGACCTGCCTGGAGCAGTGAGACAGAAATGGGTGACATCTGACAGAGCGAGGGAGGAGAACCCTTGACCCTTGTCAGAAATCCCCAAACAGTTATGCTGTGTGTGTGCCAGAGAGATGTTCCTACAGAGGTGCCTTTTGTGTGTGAGGTTCTGGAACTTTCTGGTCCTCTTGGTTGCAATGACTATAATGCCCTTCCTCCACAATCTCCTGGCTGTATTTACTTGTGTGTGCGTGTCTATGTACGTGTGCATGTGACTGTGTGTGTGTATGTGTGCATATATCTGTATGTGTGTGTGTGTGTGTGTTGGTGGGAGGTTAGAATTGACACGAATGCCTTTCCCCCTCTTCTGACAATCTTCACATTGGGCTTATGAGTCTCTAGGTTAAAAAATGTGTAATTTAGGTATCGTGAAACCTACCCATTTTAGTGTACAGTTCTTTTATTTTTATAAATCTATTACCACCATCACAGTCGGGACAGGCACTAGGAGGCCCCACTGGGCCTGACTGTCGCCGCTCTGGTTTTTCCCTTTCTTTTTTGGCACACGTGTGGCTTATGTGTGAGGTGCGTGTGAATGTGTGTGCAGAGGCTGGAGGAGTTTGGATCCTCCTATATCACTTGCCATCCTTTTTCCTTGAGACAGAATCGCGCACTGAACCTGGAACTAGGCTGATGGCCAGTGGGGCCTGCAAACTGTCTCTGCTCCTATGGCAACCACGCCCAGCTTCTTACACGGGTGCTGGGGATTTGAACTCAGTTCCTCATGTGTGCGCAGCAAACACTCTCATCCACCGAGCCATCTCTCCATCAGAACTAGATGAGTCTGGGCATCTTTGAGGACATCACCTTGTTCAGTCAATCTTGTGTCCCTATTGCCCAGCATGGGGCCTAATTACAGCCAGTGTGGGGAAACCTTTGTTGGGCAGGATGAAGAGACGGCACAGGTGGGAGTAAACAGAGGCAGAGGGACATAGTGTGTCCGGGTGGGTGAAGGGTTTATACATGTTAAATAGGGTGGTTACAGTGAGTCACTAAGAAGGTGGGATCTGAGCATAGCTGGGAATAAGGAAGGCAGAGTAGCTGCAGGAAGCAGGAACAACTTGTGCGAAGGCCCTGAGGTGGGAACATGTCCCTGGTTGGAGGAAGAAGGCTGTGACTGGGGAGGTGTGAACATGGTGAGAGGATGAGAGGTCAAAACACACAGGACTTTGTGGGTTGTGCTGGGGTTAGTCTCCTGCTGGGTTTTGGGACCTCATGTTGTCCTGCTCCTCTGCTGAGCAGGGCGGTGGAAAGTCAGCAGGGAGCAGGAGAACAGGTGGCTACAGGCGTGAACTCACTCAGGTGTGAGCTCATTTCACTGAGCAAGGGGGAAGTGGTCAGGGAGCCTCAGGGTCAGTGCTGCTGTAATGGTCAGCATCTGGTCCTCAGGACCTGGGGCTTGGCGGAGATTCGTTGGCCTAGGAAGAACCTGAGCTTGGACACTTCCCTCCCCCAGGTGAGACGCCCCTGGCCTTGGCAGCATGCACCAACCAGCCCGAGATTGTGCAGCTGCTGATGGAGAATGCGCAGACTGACATCAGCTCCCAGGACTCTCGGGGAAACAACATCCTGCACGCGCTGGTGACGGTGGCCGAAGACTTCAAGACGCAGAATGACTTTGTTAAGCGCATGTATGACATGATCCTGCTGAGGAGTGGCAACTGGGCGCTGGAGACCATGCGCAACAATGACGGCCTCACCCCACTGCAGCTGGCTGCTAAGATGGGCAAGGCTGAGGTGGGGCCCTGCAGCGGTGCAGGGAGATTTAGCACATGGTCTACCCTAAGATATCAGTCCTGGACTCCATGTTTAGTCTCTCCTTCTGGGACTTCTTAGGTGGAGCCAGATTGTGGAATCCCTAAGGCTGAGGTGATGCAATAGCTCAGGTGCTCTGTGGTTGTGCATTTCTGAGTGGTGACGTGTCCATCACTCAGGCTTGCCTCTTCTGGGGCAGAGGGTCCGGAATGGCTGCTCTGGGTCCAGGGCAGATGGGCTTCTGCTGCCTGGCAACAGAGGGACCTCAGTCTGTTGGTCAGGCCTCTTCTCCAGCCGGGTGTGGCTGTACAAGCCCCTTTGCCTGTGTGATGTGGTCAAAGAAAGCCAGGCCAATCTGAGGGTCTTGAGAAGAGCTAAGTTGGGCCAGACTGGTGTTTTTATTTGTGGCTGGAGCTGTGGTTCTGCAGGGGTCAAGTTTCTCCTCAGGGGACAGACCTTGGAAGGGGAGTGTGGACCCCAGGAGGCTGTGAGAGGACTCTGGGTGGTTGGTACCTATTGAACAATTCCAGCTCTGCACCCTTGTGCCTCTCCTAGTCAGCTGCTCTGAGGTCAGGCCAGGGCTGAAGCCCACAAGGGACCTCTTTATTCCCTTGTGGGGGAGGAGAAAATGGAGACCAGCTTTAACAAAGGGTGAATTGTACATCTGACTCCGCTCTCCTGCCACCCAGGGTCAGAGCTTGCAGGGGCTCTGAGGAGAGTTGAAGGGCATCTGTGGACGCCCCTGCATGCCACTGTCGCGTTCATGCTCCTGGCCCCTGCAACCCATGGAGGATTCGTCTTGCAGGAGGCATGGTCCTGAGCCCTGAGGCTCTAGCGGACAGGGCTCTCACCCAGGCTGTTCTCAGGGAGTTCTCAAGCTCTTGCTTCTGTTCAGCATCTTTTAGAAAATTTTCCTGGATGTCACCCAAGGTGGCTGCCATACTGGGAGTGGAAGATGCACAATGCCCAAGCTACAGACATCCTTGTGTTTTTACTCACCAGCCTATGGGGGTGTCTGCTGGCTGTGGTGGGGATGCGGTGCAGCCGAGTGAGATCCACACACCGACGCTGGCCTCCCCACCGGTCCCTCCTGCTGGGTTTTGGGTTCATACCCCTGGGTGCTCTGTGCCCCACATAGGGTGATAGATGGGTTAGCTTTCAGGAAGTGGTCAGATAGACAGCAGTGGCTTGCCTGCACAGGGGCTCATCCAGAGCTTCACAAAATACTCTCCAGGTTTCTCCCTGCATCTGGAGTTTTAGCAGTTGGATATGTGTTTTGAAAAAAATGTCCCAGAGCATCTAGCACCCAGAAGAGTTTAAGGACCACTGCTCCCCACCCCTGAGCGGGCTCCATGGGCCTGTTTGTGCCACAGCTTGTCCAGTGAGAGTGAGGAGCCTGGCTGTAAAGTCTAGACTGGGGCTGGAATGGAGGAGCAGAGAAACCAGAGCTTCACTTTCAGGCCTCATGGAAACCACTTCTAAAAACGGTCAGTTCTTGAATTCTTTACTGAACTGGAGCCCAGCTGGTTTGGGGACCTACCTACTAGCTGATGATTTGGCTTCCTACAGTGTGCAAAAGGGTTCTCAAACTCTGTGAGAGGGTGAGAACTGTAGCCTTCACTCCCATGTCACAGACACAGCTGGGACCCTGGGTCATGGCTCCAGGCAGAGGCGGCACTCATACCATTTTGGTGGGAACATATTCTGGGTTGACCTGCCTCTGGTTGGTCCAGCCCTGTTGTCCCCAAGCCCCATTATCCCTCTTTTTGTCCCCAGATTCTGAAGTATATTCTCAGTCGTGAGATCAAGGAGAAGCCTCTCCGGAGCCTGTCCAGGAAGTTCACGGACTGGGCATACGGGCCTGTGTCGTCCTCGCTCTATGACCTCACCAACGTAGACACCACGACAGATAACTCCGTGCTGGAAATCATTGTCTACAACACCAACATTGATGTGGGTCTCCCAGGCAGGCTGTCAGAAATGAGGCTGAACCTCAGGCCAGGGCTTGAGGACCCCGGGAGCGATTGTGCCAGAGTGCCTGGAGTCCCATATTGGTGATTTGTCTCGGTGGTGAAGTCTGACATAGAAGGCAGTGCCCAGACAGAAGCTAGCTCTTCTGCTCCTGGCTAACAATGAATAAGAACGAAGGGGGAGGCCTGCCCTCCGAATCTTGGGCGCTTTGGAGGCAAGGGAGAGGTGTGTGGTATTGGTGTTGCACACCCTAACGCATATATAGGGCCTGAATTCAACTCTAAAGTTGAATTCACTCGAGGTCAGAGAGAGCTCACTAGCTTGAGCAACCTGGACCTTCCAAGAGGAGGTGAGAGAGGGCAGGCAAATGAAGCTGGAGGTAAAGACAGAGTCAGCCCAGTCAGATTTTAGCTCTTGGGGCGAGAAGGGCAGTGAGCCAGGTCTCCATCCTTTGTATGTTATCAACAGTCCTACTCCTCAGAGGCTCCCTGGACCCTCAGAGCAGCCTGTTTGGCAGGGTGGTAAAGGCTGTGGTACAGATGAAGAGACGAGCCAGGAAAAGCTCAGGAGATATCGCAAGGTCACAGGGGCACCAGGACCCATTCACTGCTGCGCATCGGCTCTGCCTGCTGAGAAACCCCAGTCCCCTGCAGCATTTGAGTGCCCCAGAGGAGCCCTGGGTACAGGGAGTTACCCTTCCATCAAGCCAGTCCATTGCTCCCGAAGTCTGGAGCCTTCTGCCCCTGGTCCTGCTGACTCAGGGCTCCTGATGGGCCCTTTGAAAGTGGTCCTTCTCTGCGTGCCACATCCCCATGTGGTGTTCTATCCCCAGAACCGGCATGAGATGCTGACCCTGGAGCCTCTGCACACGCTGCTGCATATGAAATGGAAGAAGTTTGCCAAGTACATGTTCTTCCTGTCCTTCTGTTTTTATTTCTTCTACAACATCACCCTGACACTCGTCTCTTACTACCGTCCTCGGGAGGATGAGGTAATGGGGGTCCTGGGGCTGGGGTTGTGGTGGGGAGGTCTGAGGTGGAGGATCTTACAACTGCCCCATGTGGAGATGGGAAACTGAAGCTCAGATAAGCTAAGGGATTTTTATAGTGTCATCCAATCATTCTCTGAAGTTCCCAGTGAACAGAGTAGTTAGCCAGGCTGTCGGTGTACAAAACCAGGGAGACTCTTACTGGGAGAGGGTTGGGGATTAAGGAGCCTCTGGCCCTTGCCAGGCGTTCTGTGTGGGTCCAGAATACACTGTCTGCTGGGAGGCCCACAGGAGGTGGTCAGAGGAGAGGTTACTTGGCCAAGCTTCCCTACTACTTTGGGCCTCGATCCCCATCTGTTAGTGGGGTGCAGGGTTTTGGCTTCATCGAGCTGTGGGGGGGATGCCCCTTTGAGTGTCTGGTAGTGGCTGTGGTTGAGAAGAACCACGCAGGTGGGCAATGGGGTTGTGAGCACAGTGATTTGTCCTCACTGCAAAGTTCTGGGTTCCCACTGAGGGTGGGGCAGGCAGGACCGGAAGATGAGGTTCCACAATGGCCCATGGTCCATCGTGAAGGCTCAGCATTTACAGGAACAGCCTGGTTCCTCCAGAGCTGGCACTCCCTTCCCTTTCCTCTCCTCATCCTCACCCCCTGCTTCCCTTCCCTCCAGGCCCTCCCACACCCCTTGGCCCTGACACACAAGATGAGTTGGCTGCAACTCCTAGGGAGAATGTTTGTTCTCATCTGGGCCATGTGTATCTCTGTGAAAGAGGTGAGTACATTTCTCTGCCCTTCTAGACTCCTTTAGGAGGTCAGCAGGGTGGAGCAGGGCTCGCTTCCACTCCAGCCTGTACTTCCATTACTGCAGAGGCTTCATTAAGACCTTTCCTTTTTAGGCCTTAGATTTCTAAGTTACAGTACAGAGAACAATGAGTAAGACAGGCCTCTTCTATCTGCTCCATCCCTCCTCCATTCATCTGTCGTGTGTCTATCCTTCAAGTCCTCTGGGCCAATCCTTCTCCCTTCTTGGTCCTGCCGCCATGTTACCTGCCTCTTGTCACTGCCCAACCACTTACTCATCTATTTCCAATCCCATACAACCTAAGCGCCATGCTTCTGCTCTTCACTCGGCCATTTTCCCATCTGTTTCCCCATCCACCTAGTCACTGACCCACTCGTGTACCTACCTGCTTACCCATTCAACCAGTCAATGAATCAACCTGGATATTTGAGCCTTTTGTATATGGGACACGGGTATATGACAGGGATGGTGGGAGTTTGCCCTTCTCAAGCTCAGCTTGGTAAGGGAGCCAACAGGCACAGACGTCTACACTGCAAGGTGGATTAGAACAGCGCTTGGAGGGAGGGAGATGACTCATCTGGGAGTGGGAGGAAGAGTGGAAGCTTCATCACCCCTAGAGTTAGGGTATGACAGGGAAGCCATGATAAGCAGCAGGCACCAAAGCTCAGACTGGAAAATTAGGCCACATTTTGTGGGTAGCTGTGGTGACTGTTTTTACAGATTTTGGGCTAAGGATGGAAGTGAGAAGCCTGTGGGTTCATTACCCTCATCAAGGGGTCAGTGGCACCCTCCAGGCACAGGTCAGCTTCCAAATCCTGCCCTTGGACTCTAGCTGAGCTGTCATACACAGTTCTCCATGAATTCCCACTGGGGCAGTACTTCCCAGAGCTTTGGATGAAGGGCAGGACGAGGGTCAAGCTTTGCTTTTCTGTTGATCCCAGGGCATTGCCATTTTCCTGCTGAGACCCTCTGACCTGCAGTCCATCCTGTCGGATGCCTGGTTTCATTTTGTCTTGTAAGTAGGTCTGTCCCCTTAGTCTCACTGATAGAAAGGGCTGAAGAGTGTCTGGAATAGCCATTCAACCATGTCGCCATGCCTTAGCACCCTGCTGCCATCATAGTCCAGAGGCCCCTTTGCCTCTTCTAGATGGAGATCCATGTAGATGCCTGTGAAGGGGACCAGAGACCCTTAGGACAGAGCTTGTCCTGAGGGCAGGGGAAGGCTGACTCCATCTCTCAGAGCCCCAAATGGCAAGCATCACAGAGAAACAGAGACTTGGTGGTCCTGTTGGTGTTTGCACACAGTGCTGTCTGCTCAGTGATGTATCAAAGTTGCCATCAGAGACCTTGGTTGGTCAGGACTAGAAGGCACCTAAAAAATCTGTTTCATGTATGTTTGTTGTTTATTCATTGTTTGGATAATTTTTACACATGTATATAATACATTTTCATCAAATTCAACTTTTACTCTCACCCCCCAATACCTCTCACATCTCTCTACCACTTCTTCCTCAAAATTTCATGTACTATTTCTACTGTTTTGAGATGAGGTTTCACTGTGTAGCTGGCTCAGAGCTCACCTTGTAGATGAGGCTGCAATACACCAGGGGCTACATGATCAAAGAAAACACTTTCCTTCCCCCAGCAGCCATCAGTTGCTCCCTAGCTGTGGGTGGGGCTTTGTAGACCCTCTCTTACTTGGCCTGGAAGTTTGGTTGGCTTGATCTTGTGTTTGACAGCCCCGTCACACTCAGAAAACACAGCTTGCGGCAGGCCTCCCCAAGCCTCTGGCTCTTGCAATTGTTCTGCCACCTCTTCCATAATGACACATCACACAAAAAGCTACCATCTTTAAAACAATTTAAAAGATGTGTGTGTGTTGGGGGGTGGGGTGGGACACAGGCCATAGTGCGTATTTGGAAGTCAGAGGAGACCATGTGAGAGTTGGTTCTTTTTTTACTGTACGAGTTCCAGCAAACTCAGGTCATCAGGCTTGGCAGGAAGCACCTTATCACTTGAGCCATCTCAGCGCCCCCAAATCTACCATCATAACCACTTTTAAGCACTGCTCAAAGCTGTGGTTTGTGTGCCCAGCCTCCAGGGTGCTTTTCTTCTTGTAAAACTGAAGCTCACTACTGAATAAAATAACACCATTCTGTCTTCCCTTCTTGGCAACCACCTTTCTGCTTTTTGTCCTGTGAGCTTGACCACTCTGGGTACTTCATATAAGTAGAGAGGTGGTACCTGCCATTTTATAGCTGTCTTATTTCACTTATCATACATCATACCTTAAAATGATTCAGGAGTGGCTTTGGGAGACTTTAAAATTATGGTTAGTTTCTGAGTATGAATGTTGGAAGCTTTAGTAATTTTTATTGAAAATACGCTTTTCACTAAATCATTGATCTACCCTGGTGTTTCCCACATTTATGAGGGAATTGTAACCATGTAGGTGATTTCCAAGCCATCTGGCCTTATGGGTTGTGTGCCAGAGTCTGCCGGCATCTGGCTATGTCTATACACTTTAAGTCCCACCCTGACTCTGCATCTAGCGCTGCAGTCTACACTGCCTTCAGACCCAGCTGAATGGATACAGCCACCAGAGTGACCCTTTGGGAGGTTGAGGTTTGGGAGTTTGATGTCTCTGCACTGCTGGGAAGTAAGGCCCTTGTCTCCTGTGTCTCCTGAACAGTTTTGTCCAAGCTGTGCTTGTGATACTGTCTGTCTTCTTGTACTTGTTTGCCTACAAAGAATACCTCGCCTGCCTCGTGCTGGCCATGGCCCTGGGCTGGGCGAACATGCTCTACTACACGAGAGGCTTCCAGTCCATGGGCATGTACAGTGTCATGATCCAGAAGGTATGCTGGGACCCAGGCCTTTGAGGGTGGAGCATCCAATTTCAGATGTGGAAACTAACATCTGGAGCAATAATCGGTAGTCCAGCACTGCCACCAAAAATGCCACAGTCTTTGTTTGATTTCGGTCAGACCTTAGGCGTCCAGACTTTAGAACTACTGGGCTTGTTGGCATTGGGAAGGGATACACTTCGGGAAGGAAGCGTTCTGACCCTTGAGCAATGGTGTGCTTGAACATCTCTAACGATTGCTCTTCAGGATGTGTGTGCGCGCGTGTGCCTGCACATGCATAGCGAGTATGCATGCAGTGCATACATACATTTGCCATACATTTTCACTATGTGAAGGATGTGATGAGCAGAAGTTTGCTGCCTTCTGAGGTGGGCTTACTGCCATCAGACCGTGCGGTAGCTGGCAAGCGCGTGCTGCCCCTTTCCGGCTGTTGGCAGTTCACTTTGCAAGCAGCAGGGTGAGAGGAGGCACTGAAGACAATCTGGAGCTTGTTAGTCAAGCTCAGGGCAGCCGCTTCGCCGGGTGAGACAGCTGTTAGCAAGCACCAAAGGTCGTTATCCTTCCTGTACTATGCATGAGAGACAGCCTACACTTTAAAAATACAGCATCTTAACCGAGTTTTTGAAAATTTCATGCATGTATATGAAGTATTTTGAATCCTATTTACCTGACTCTTTGCCTAACTTCTAGATCGATTCCTTCCCTCACTCAACCCTCTTCATGTTATCTTTTCTTAAGATAACCACGCACATATATGCATATAATGTAATACATATGTAACACATACCTTCCCGCATGCCTAATAATACCAATTTGTGCTGCTCACAGGTGTGGGGTCAGCCACTGGAGTTTGGCTAACCTACCAAGGCCCAGTTCTTTTTTTAATTTATTATTTATACAGCATTCTGCCTGCATGTGTGCCTGTGCATCAGAAGAGGGCACCAGATCTCACTATGGATGGTTGTGAGCCACCATGTGGTTGCTGGGAATTGAACTCAGGACCTTTGGAAGATAAGCCAGTGCTCTTAACTTCTGAGCCATCCCAAGGCCCACTTCTTAAAGCAAAACTGACTCTTCCTTCCCCAGAAGCCATCAACTATCAATAGCTCTTTTGGGGGGAGGGCTGGTGAACCCCTTCCCTTCCATGCTGGAATATTGGTTGGCTTGATCTTATGCGTGTCTGCTATAGGCAACAGCTGCAGTTCATTGGTACACTGGCTCTGGCATTTCTAGAAGACACCATTTCCATCTAATCTTCCCTGACGTTTGGTTCTCAAGTCTTTTTGCCTTTATCCCATGGTGGTCACTGAGCCTTGTGAGAGAGGAGATCTAATGCAGATGTCCCATTTGTGGCTGAACCTCCACAGATACTTTTCCTTTGCACTTCGGCCAGTCATGACTTTCAGACAGCCCGCATTTCAAATTTCAATCTGCCTTAACATCTTCCTGGTCAGTGTCTTGAATCTAGATGTAGACATCAATAGAACAAGGAACATTTTGTCGGTAGGAATGGTAGCATTCCCAGTTTTCATGGCATAAATGTTCTTACTGTGTCGGCTTTGTAGCTGCTGACATTATGTCACTCAGCACAGCTGGAAGAGCTACGCGGTTGCACATTACTGCGTAAGCTTCCACTATCCGGGTACAATAGGTGCAGGCATCCCCAGAGCACAGACAAAAGTGCAATATAATAGCCAAACGACACTCTGTGATTAAGCTACATTTTTAAGACAATAAATATTCAAAGTTGAGTGTCACCTGGCTATTTTATGTGACTGTAATTTTAATTTGAGACAGAGTTTTAAAATAGAGCCCAGGCTGGCTGAAACTCAAGCTCGTCATGCCTCATCCTTCTGCGTGCTTGGCTGTAGGCGTACTGCCTATGCTTGACTTACATGACTGAATACTTTTACATCAAAATTATTTTTATTATTTTTTTATTGAGCTGCAGTTGAAAATGTGTATACATTTAAAGTGTAGGACTGGGTACAGCTGCATACTGTGAGGTGATTCCAATGTCAACTTAGTTCACACAGCCATCAGGTCACATAGCTACCATTTATGTGTGTTAGAACACTGGAGACCTATGTTTTGGGTACACTTCAACTACACAATTTGGTATTTTTTATGAGAGCCTTGGAGTTTATTTATCTTATAATTTAATGTTTGATTCAGTTTTTCAGAGTGGCCATGGTCACAGCATTCATGCAAATTCAACAATCACTTCTTAGAAGTTAGTATGGGCCTGCTCTGACATGTCACTGCTCCAGGGAAGCCCAGATGTGTCATTCCATAAAGAAATACATGGACTGAGTTAGAGACTGTGTGCTGGGAGGTGAGATGTAGGGAAGAGAGGCCTTGGGGACAAATCAGGAAAGAAGGCTTCCTGGTAGACAGAGATGTGTCCCTCAGAGAAGCCTGGGAGCATCAAAGGGATGATGAGGGGAGGGAGAGTGGCCAGAGCGAAGGCAGGATTAAGATGAGCATCAGGGAGATGGGTGCACAGTGACCAGGTGCTCATACCTCACTCACACTTGAATCGTGTCCATTTCTTTGCAGGTCATTTTGCACGATGTTCTGAAATTCTTGTTTGTTTACATCCTGTTCTTACTTGGATTTGGAGTAGGTAATTGCTTCATAACTAACAGCAACTCCCGCACTTGTTAAGCACCATATTGTTTTATCAGAATGACAAAACACACAGGGCCTCATCAGTGACGATACAGTGCCTGCCACATCAGTGCGTGCGAAGCAGAACCGTTTTCCTTCTTCCAGCAACTTGATCAAGTTGAAGTTCTTACCCTGACCCCATAGATTACAGACGCATGTCTGCCACTCTTACCCATCCAACCTGTGTTTCCCCAGACTTTCACATCCATCCCAATCTGAGATGGGCTCAATAGATGCTCTCACTCCCTTCAGATAGGAAAATGAGAGCACCCAGAAACTTGATGGGTAGTCTTCAAAAACCAGGAGAAACCTAGAGTAACGAGGTGACTTCCCCTAGTCCTCCACATCTGTGATTCTGTTTGCTTCAGATGTCTCTGTGAGAGCTTACGGTTTGTGGAGGACCAGAGGCGTGGAGGCCCTTTAAAAATCTGGACGGAACAGCACAGCTCAGTTTTATTTCTAACCACTGCATAGGGAGATGGCATGCTTAGCATGTTTTCCTCCAGGGCAATTTTGTGGGTTCCTCCCCCTTCTTCAGTGACTGCTGACTCATATTAGGCAGCTGCTCCCATTTGTCTGATGCCTTTTCAGGGACAATGGACAAATCTTGCTTCTTCATGTGACCCTCCACCTGTGTACTTACTCCTCTATACATGCACTCACCAGCAAAGGACCACCACTGTGGTGGGCTGGCCAGAAGAAGCAAGCAAGGACCTTATTCACAGGGAACTCACAATGCATCATTAAGAGGGGATGCAGGAACCTATAGTCCTGGGGAGGCCACTTGGACTCCAGGCCGTCAAAACCTTAGTCTATAGGGAGGCAGGGTCACACACAGGATAAGTGGCAAGTCCAGCAGGCTGTGGATGAGTGAGGGGCTAAGCTGGGGGTAGAGGAGGGGAGGAGGCTGGGCTTCAGTGGCCAGGAATGGCATGTTGCAGTCGAGGTGGGAAAAATCAGCCTCATTTGGCTTCTGGGGAACCTGAGGCTGAAGATAGAGGAGGAGAGATGAGAACCTGAGGCTAGAAGGAGGGAGGCAGCAATGTGTTCACACGCAGACATGTGAGTGCTCTGCATTGCCAGCCAGTCCAAGAACACCCACTGTCTCCCCAGCGCTGGCCTCGCTGATCGAGAAGTGCTCCGAGGACAACAAGGACTGCAGCTCCTACGGCAGCTTCAGCGAGGCAGTGCTGGAGCTCTTCAAGCTCACCATAGGCCTGGGTGACCTGAACATTCAGCAGAACTCCACCTACCCCATCCTCTTCCTCTTCCTCCTCATCACCTACGTCATCCTCACCTTTGTCCTCCTCCTCAACATGCTCATCGCCCTGATGGGGGAGACGGTGGAGAATGTCTCCAAAGAGAGCGAGCGGATCTGGCGCCTGCAGGTGAGCTGGGCAGAGGCCAGCATCTTGAGGTCTTGCACAGCCATGGACAACAGCGGGTCTGGGCTACACCCTGAGACTGCTTAAACCTTAACATGGGTTCTTTGAGAACAGGGGTAGAACAGCAGCACAAACAGGAAAATGCAGGCTTTTGGGGACACTCTATTCAAAGTCACCTATGATATGTGGACACTGAAAAGTGACCTCGGGTTGAAGTAAGAGTCTAGAACAATGAAAAGTGACATTTTTGCTGTTTCATCCTGTCCTTATCTTCTCTCAACTCCGAGAACAGTTCACAGCGCAGGTCCTGTGGTGATGAGCTCATTTGTGAGCTGACTGGAGGCAGCAGCAGTGTAGGGAGTGGTGCTGGAAGTCGGGGTGGGGGAGCGAGCATCCCTTCAGAGATCTGCATAGCTGCCTTTAAGGGAGAGACTGGGCCTCTTTCTGCCATCCTAGCTGGCAGGACGAGGCACACATGTTCACAGGGGGAGAAGCTTTGGCTTTGGTCCCAGTTTTCAGAACTTTTTAAACTTTTTAAACTGGATTGTGCATAATGCTCTACAGAGACTGGACACATGACCAGGACAGCTTCCACAGAGCCCAAGCCTGGGAGGGAGTGTGGGAATGTTTGACTCCCCTCCACCTGCAGCTTCCAACCCCCAAATTTCAGTTAGGAGGCTCCTGTTGTCCAGTTATACTGTTTAGGCCAAGATTAAAGCAATTTGATCATCACCCCCCAAATTTCTGCCTTCTCATGTTTGAATCCTATAGATTTCCTCAACCCTTAAGCCCTCTGCTTTAAGCACAGGTGAGGCTGGAGTGAGCTTCCTTCTCTGGAGCAGGGCTCTTGGAGCAGGCGCTGAGAAACCAGTTTAGGCTTCTTTACCTCCCCAGAGAGCCAGGACCATCTTGGAGTTTGAGAAAATGTTACCGGAGTGGCTGAGAAGCAGATTCCGAATGGGCGAGCTGTGCAGAGTAGCAGACGAGGACCTCCGGCTGTGTCTGCGGTAACAGAGCGGAGGGCTGTGTGCGGGGCAGGACTCTCTGAGGTGGGGTGGGTCATCAAACAGGAGGTTGGAGCATCCCCATATCTGTGACAGTCAGAGGACGGGCTATGTAGAAGCCGGGACATCCCAAATGTGTTTGTTTATGTTTACTGACATTTGGTCATGAAGTAGTGAGTGCGGTGGCCACACTTGCAGGATCAACGAGGTGAAGTGGACTGAATGGAAAACACACGTGTCCTTCCTTAACGAAGATCCAGGACCCATAAGACGAACAGGTACAAGCGGTGTGGAATCCTCTTTTGTGGACCATGTGACTTCATATGAATCAAGACCAAGAACCTTGGTCTCCCCCCCTGTGAAACTGGGGTTCCTCCCTAGCTCTGATACTCTATAGCACTATTTAGAACAGCTTTTAAATGAATGATGGGGAGCTGGAGTATAGCCCAGGTCCTGGGTTCTAACACCAGGAACAGGGCACAGAGGGATGTACTTCTAAACTCCAACATTTTTCCTGCAGCAGATGTGAACAAAATCCAAGATTCTTCCAGGAGCAACAGCAAAACCACCCTCTACGCGTTTGATGAATTAGATGAGTTTCCAGAAACGTCAGTGTAGAAGCATGGCATACAGCTGATGTGAACACCATGGTCTGACGCTGCGGGCTGAGTCCTGGGGCTGAGGTGCTGCACAGGGTGCTGAATTAGAAGCAAAATGCTCCTACTATCGACTGATGGCTGCTGCAGGGCAGCGTTCAGGGTGTGAAAGGAAAGCGTCTTGGGTTTTGTGACTTGAGAGAGGTCAGTACAAATCCATGGCCAGCATCCTGAGCCCAGAAGACTCCTGACGTTCAGGGTGAGACACTGCAAGTTGTCTTGGCTCCAAGATACATGTGCTGGGGTAGAGTAGTGGGGTCTGAGGAGCTGGGAGATCAGTCTTCCCCTCTGCTGTGGTCCTGTTGTTGGGGCCAGATTCAGCTAGTCTCCTCCTTTACCTCTCTGACTTCACGAACAGAAGTCCGTGTTTGAAGGGCAGCCATTGGCTTTGGGGAGCTGGGATGCCAGCTTTACCTTGGGTTGGAAGTTGGTAGATCAAACCATATAGCTCTGAATTTGTGAGAGACATTTGATCCTATCCCAGAATGTGCAGAGGACCATCCTAAGGTGGATCTGCTGGGGAAGGAGGGTATGGAGCTATGGAAATGCCCCTCTTGAGTCCCCAGGAAACAGGACTCCATCCTTGGCAAAATCCAAGGCTAAACCTATCTCTAGCTGAGAGATGCTTTAATAGTGTAATTGATACAAGGTTTTTAGTTTTAGTTCAGAAAAGCCATTTCAGCTTTGAATGAAAATTACTTCAGATGAAGTGGGAGGCTTCAAAAGCTGAGAAATAGATTTTGGGCTTTTGAACTGAAGTAAGTATTATATACTAGGGTCTCAGAGTGACCAGGGTCAGGACAATAAACATTTCCTCACACACATGGAGCCTGTGGGACTGAGGGATGGAAGGCAGGTGAAGTTAGGCAGATATTTCTAACTAGCTGGCCCTCAGGCTGTGATCTGGAGGGAGGGTTTGGCACCCATCCTTTTCCAGTCTCACCCGGTGTTGGCCTCATTTATCTGAGACAGAAATAGCAGCTGATCTATTTAGGATCTTAAAACGCAGAGGTGACTAGTACACACCAGCATTTCCTGTTGGGGAATTCAGCAAGATGCCTGAAATGCACTGCTGTCCTACGTTTTTTGTTAACTGTGAATTTTGAAACTGTAGCAGAAAGCTTTGAGGAGAGAATGCCAAACTTGGGGCTCATTTTCATCCTCAGCCTCAGATTTATTTTTTCTCCTTAAAATTTCAGAGTCTGTACAGGGAGGTGGAGATTGGATTTTTCCAGTGACTAGAACCCTATTACCCCCCCCCCCAACAACCCACAATTTACTGTTATTTAGTAAAAGAACTCATGTGGAAAAGTTTGAGATGGAATTATAGATCATTATGAAGATACTTTTAATGTTAAATGGGTCAGAAATAAGTTGGGTCTTTAGAAAACTTGGCATTTAGTGAGCTAGTCAGATGAGACCAGGCAAAGCAGTTTCTCCATCAAGAAGGTTCCGTGTACCAGCTTAGCTGGGCAGGTGAAAAGTTGGCCATCCCATCCTGCATGGCCAGGCGGGGGAGGGATGGTGGTACAGCACTGAAGACAGCCCAGTGTGCAGCAGCCACTGCCTGCCCAACTTTCTGGGGTCTCTGGTGCTCAAAGATCATACTCAAGTAGAGGAAGGTGTCAACACGTGTGTCTGGAACAGGGAGGATCTGGTGGGGGACGCCATGGGCAGAAGGAGAAGATGTGCTCCGGATGGGCAGAAGTAGTGAGAGAACTAGACTGAGCATTTGGTTCAGTTCAGTAGATAGCTGCTTCGGCTTTTGGAGGTATTCAAGAAATGGGCTGAAGAATGCAATTAGGTGAATTTTAAGGTTCCTAGACATTCTGTAAACCAGTATTCCATAGCTGGAGTCTCCTTGAGTTATCCTGAACAGAAGTCCAAGTTTGAAGGGCAGCCACTGGCTCCAGGAAGCTGGGACGCCAGCTTTACTTTGGCTTGGAAGTTGGTAGCTCAAACCACATAGCTCTGCATTTCCCCCTTGGATGGAAGGTAGGCGAAGTTGGGCAGATAGCTGGACCTTTGTCTTCTCATGTGTTGTGGAGATCTGCTTTCTGAGAATCTGGATGGCATTTGTTGGCAAAACCATTTCTAAACTGCATGTAAGTGTGGGATTCCCCAAAGGTCAAGCTAAGAGGGTTCACCAAAGCAAGAAAAGGCAGCAGGACAAAATTCATCCTGCTCAAAAGGACCAAATCCCCCATTATTCACCAGGAGACTCAGGCAGGTAAGGCTAGGATGTCCTGATTTCTGGGCCACAGGTGCCCTTTTGCACAATTTTTTTCATTGGGGCTTTTTGTAATTGGCACATTCAGGGGCTAGGGTTTTTTTTTTTTTTTTTCTCTCTCTCTCCTGTTATGACTTGGAAGTTAGCATTGTCCTTACAACCCCAATGACAAGTCTAAAGGTCAAATGTGCCTAAAGCCACACAATAACAAAACTAAACAAAACTACAACACACCACTGACTCCATAGGCCTATCAGGACATCTTGAAACTCCATGAGTTACATTTCAGTAATTTAGGGAGAAGAGGTTTTTCAGGGATGGGATTGAGCATCCTCAGACAGTGACCGCAAACCCTGTGTTAGCTAAACATTTCCCCAGGAAGAGTTCTGTATGCTAGACAGGTCACGTGTCTGGAGTAACACAGGTGCTTCTGTTCCTTCCTGGTGTGGGGAGGAGGAGAGAAAAGTTGTACTGTGAAGTCGCTGAGCTCTTAGGCACCTGCCCAAGAGAGTACAGTATTATTGAGGTTTCTGTCCTTCCTCAGGGCCTGGTGACTGTCCCCTTCTGCTCTGGGTAGGGCTCAGGGAGACAGGCCCTCACCAGAGTCTATAAGCCATACTTGATTTACATGTTTTAAATATCTTATTTTATATTTACTGTGATCTTGGTTCCAGACACAGAATTTTCATCTTATTCTCAGTGGATGAGGCTGATCCTTGTAAAACTTAATTTATAGATTTTTTTTAGCGTTGTATATGTGTAACTACATGTTCAAGAAATCATAAAGAGTAAGACTACTTTGGTCTCATTGAAGAGATACTGTTTTGATTTCTAATAAATATTTATTTTGTCATGTTATGGCCATGTTTCTGCCTTTGCCTTGCATGAACGATGAAGACCAGCTATGAATCCTAGAGTGTGTATTAACAGGAATGGGTAACAGAAAGGCTAATGTTTGGATCTAAAGCATTCCTCCTGGCCCCTGGTCAGTGGGGAGCCAGTAAGCATGTCACCTTCATGCCCTGTCTACATGTCAAAGTGCAGACACATCTGGAATCCTATTTGAGGTATTTGAAAACTTTGTTTTATTTTTAAAAACAGATTTTGGGGCAGGAGAGATGGCTCAGCTGTTAAGAGCACTGGCTGCTCTTCCAGAGAACCTGGGTTCAATTCCCAGCACCCACATGGCAGCTCACATTTGCCTGTACCTCCAATTTCAGGGTATCTGACACCTTCTCACAAACATACATGTAGGCTAAACACTAATGCACATAAAATAAAATCATTAAAAATTATCTCATTTTAACTTATATAGTGTGTGTGTCTGTGGATACACACATGCAGCACGTGCTCATGGAGACTAGAAGAGGACGCCAGATCTGGAGCTCACAACATATGGTTGTGAGCAGTGCTGGGAATCCATCTTGGATCATCTACAAGAGCAGCAGGTTCTCTTGACTGCTGAGTCATCAATTCAGCCTGATCCGGTAACTTTTGAAGTAGTTATAGGAAGTCACAGCCAGGTTCATGCTAGCAGTTCAGGTCTTCCGACTCCTCAACTCTATCCATGTTTTGCTGGCTCTCAGTCTGTCTTGAATACATGTAAAGCCATGGCTTCTCCTGACTCCCAGCTATCTAACACTCAGGATTTCCATGAGGAGGAAATGAGAGTTGCCATCAGCCTAACTTTTATGTTTGGGCATTTTTCATGCTTTTGGGATATTTCATAGGATGGGAGTTTTCATTTGAATCTTGAAGCATTGCTTTTGTGGTAACGGATTACAGAAATTGCAATTAATTTATCAGCAGGTGGGATGCTACATTTGGCAATTTATTTACTTTATTTGCTGAATAACTAAATTCAGAATACGTTTCTTCCTTCCATCTCTGGACAGAAGCCAAGAAGCGGGAATTGCACATAGTTGCATTTGGATTATTGCATTTGGATGGACAAACAGATTTGTCCATCACCTAGGAATGGACTATTAATGATGATATTCTGGGTGTGCTGTAGGACATATTTCTGGGCCTGGAAGACCTAGGGCACCAGGCGCAAACTTTTTTTTTTTTTTTTTTTTTTTTTTTATGGCTGTTGATACTGTGAAAAATTACCTGCTTAAAGGATCATGATCTTTTTGGTCAGCTATGTGATAAAGCACTTCTGTTCAGGTTGGTTACCTTGACAATTCAGTTTTCTGAGTTGGTGGCTAAAGCTCACTGTCTAACAGGCAGGAAATCAAGATCTGGGGTCAGGTGGAACAGTGTGCAAAAGTTGTAAATGCTTGGTGTTTTTTTTTTTTAATGGCCCAAGGATCCAGATTCTCTCATGGTTAGTCAGACCTGTATCAAGAGATGCTGCTGTTGTCACCTCTCCAAGCTGCCTCTCTGACCAGGATAGCAGAGCTGTGCAGAAAGGAAGGGATCTAGTCAAGTTCTGTAAACATGTAGCTTACCTATTTAGTGTGAGGATTTAGTTCCAAGCCTCCTGAAGACAATATAGGTGAGATCGTGGAGATACCAAAAAGTTTTAGGAGTCCCCTAAAAAGCCACTCTCCCTCAGGATACAAGGCTGTTCAGACATGCCCTGGTCCAGCTGCCCTGGCATGTTTCTGACTTGCACCTCCCAGCACCGTGGCCTTGATCTCCAGAGTCCTTCTCTCGGCCCTCCTCACTTGCTCCTCCTGCTGGCACATGTGGCAAGCCATGGCTCCCTATTCCTGTCCCAGTGGTCTCCTGTGTTTTCAGAAACAACCAAGGGCTGCCAATAACCTCTTCGTCCAGGGAAGACCTTCTGGATGGTTTCACATTCACCACATCAATTCTCATTTGTCTGTAGAAACTTGCCATGCTCCTAATGTGTGTTAGACACTGTAATAAGTGCTATGGATTCTGCAAGGAACAAGATGGACTGTCCCACCTCTCTGGGAGCATTTTAGTTTAATCAAAGGCAGAGACGTTGTCTCCTACTCCAATTTCATTAACCATTGTTTTGGAGTTTTGTGCAGTGCCAGTCTGGTACTGACAATGAACTTGTATGACATAATGGTCTAACCTAAACCAAGTCACATTCAAAACAAGCACCATCAGGTCTGGGAAGAGCTGGCGTGTGTGCTGGCTAGTGTCTATGTCAACCTGACAAAGGGTAGAGGGAACATCAATACAGAAACTGCCTCCATAATATTGGCCCGTAAGCAAGCCCATTGGGCAGCTGTTGATCAATGATCATGTTGATCATGTTCACGATCAACAGCACCATGCCTCACAGACGATGGAGGAAAGCAGACTGAGCAAGCTGATAAGCAGGGTTTTTCCATGGCAGCCTTTTTAGTTCCTGCAGGTTCCCGCCCTGACTTTCTTCAATGATTGACCGTGACATGGAACTGTAAGGAGAAATAAAACATTTTTTCCTCAAGTTGCTTTGGACATGGTGGTTTATTAATAAAAAACCTACTCAAGATAGGGGGATGGGCTTTCAAGGAGAGGAACAATTTGGAAAAGCCCAAGGTTGCAGGAAACTTGTACCTGAGGACTGGGGAACACAGCCTGTGTCTCAGTTGCTTGGAGCAAGGGGCCAAGTGACATGAAGCTCAAAGTTGGCAGAGGCCAGAGCATGCAGGGCTTGTTTGGCCATGGTGAGGCTTTGAGATTTTACACCCAGGGTAAGGAAAAGCCATGGTAAGGTTACATAGGGGCATTACTGAGCATTAACATTTCTGTTTTTTTATAGTCTGGCAAGGAAGCACTTTCCCATTTTTCTGCCATCCTTCCCAAGCCTGAAGGACAGAATAGAATGAGTTTCTCCCAGGAGTAAGGGAAGTGCCTGGGAAAGAGCATGAAAAGCACGGACATTGGTGGGATGCAATGCATCTGGGTAAAGAAGGGATGTTTGATGCACACATACATATATTCTACCAGCTTTTCTTGGCACATTCTATAATGTAGGCACTAACAAAGACAATGCTGTATTGTAAAGGTTGGATGGCAGGAGATGAGGGCAAAGGGGCAACCAGGTGAGACAGAGGGAGATTCAAAGGGCTTTGTACACAAGGAGAGCTGAGTTGCATTTTGAAGGAACCAAAGGTAAGATCAGTTTGGGGTGGGAGTGGGGGTTGCACGAAGGTGAGAGAAAATTCTAGAGGAAGAATCAGCTTGAGTGAAGGCATAGAGGAATAAAACAACATGAAGGACATTGGGACAAAGAGAAGGAAAGAAGAGATGAATCTGGAGGTTGTGGGGAGGGACAGGCAGACCATGAAAGGCCTTTTGTGTTAACCATGAATAACTAACAAAATGCATATTTGGCACTAGGCACTGAGCTAAATGCTAGCATTCATTAGCTGCTTAATCCTAACAATGATACCAGGAGTTGGCATTATTATGATTATCCTTATTTTATAGATGAGGGAATTGGGTGGATATGTAGATTGTTACAGAGTCAATAAAAATAAAATATAGCTGAAAATGGGTGAAACCACACAGCAGTATGTATAGAATAAATTAATATATATATTAAAATGATATTACAGAGGACTGGAGAGGTAGTTCTGTGGATAAGAGCACGGGCTGTTCTTTTAGAGGACCTGGGTTTGCTTCCCAGCACCCACACAGTGGCTCACAACTCTCACTTTTAGGAGATCTGACACCCTCTTTCTGGTCTCCAAGGGCATCAGGCTCACACAGACACCCATGCAGGCAAAATACTCATGCACATAAAAAAAATTACATGTTGTTAAGGAGGTAAAGGTGCTTATAGCCATGGCTGACAACCTGAATTGGATCCCTGGAGCCCACATGATGGAAGGAAAGAACCACTTCTGAAGGTTGTCCTCTGATCTTTACATATGTATTGTGGCTTGTATGCATGTTCACCTGCACATACACAAACTAACCAAATCAGTAAATGCTGTAAAAGTGAAAAAAAAATCACATTTAATTAGAGAGCACCTGTTCAGGGTATCATGACAGTAGATAAGATCTCATATAATCAGAAATTATGAAGACTATAAAGATTGAATCAAGAAAAAATTGACTTAATAGAAATAATCTGTAAACTAAGACGATGGCAATCTAAACTGCTTTAACTTTTGTAATTAAAATTTGAGGGAAGAATAAAGTCTACCTCTTGTAGTTTACCTCTGTAATAACTGGCTCAGAGAAAGTAAATACCAATCAACCAACCAACCGAACAAACAAAACAACGTGAGACAGATAGCTCACCAACATTTGTAGAAGCTGATTGACATGCCACATTTTAACTATGACATTTAGCAAGAAGAATATATTTCAATGACTAATTTTGGCAAGGAACAAAATAGATGTTGACTACAATGAGTATGGGCTGAGACAGGCTTAATAGGTTTTCTCTGGATGAATAGAGTGTGTGTGTGTGTGTATACTGGACACTCATTGAATCACTCACATTGACTGGTACCTCTCTATCTGTATTTATATATCTATTTCAGTTAATTTATTATTATTGTGTGTATATGTTCATATGTGTGTGTATAACTGTGAAGACCAGAGGTTCATGCTAAATATCTTTTCTCATTTACTCTCCACTTTATTTTTTGAGTAGTCTCTTTCTGATTTTTGGGCTAATTGACTTGGCTAGACTGGCTGGCCGGCGTGCCCAGGAACCTGCTAGTCTCTACTTCCCCACACTGAGACTGTAGCTGTGCTCCACTGTGCCTGGCTTCTTACCTAGGTGCTAAGGAGTGAACGTAGATCCTCATGTTTGCCTGGTGAGGCTTTACCAACTAAGCCGCTCTCCAGCATTATTATTATTTGGTGTTTTGAGACAAGGTCTCTCTGTGTATCCTTGGTTGTCCTGGACTTGCTTTGTAGGCCAGTCTGGCCTCGAAGTATTATTATCATTATTATTTTAAAGATTTTTTTATTAATTATTTATACAGTTTTCTGCCTGCATGTGTGCCAGAAGGCCAGAAGAGGACACCAGATCCCACTGTAGATGTTTGTGAGCCACCATATTGTTACTGGGAATTGAACTCAGGACCTTTGGAAGACCAGCCAGTGCTCTTAACTTCTGGGCCATCTCTCTAGCTCCCCAAAGTATTATTTCATAAATATGTTGAATCCATAAATGTGGGTTCCTTGGGTCCAAATCACAGCATAAAAATGTTCTTTATATGACTGCTGTGGCTTTAGAGAGGAGGGAAGGGAGGTGAGGGTCCTGCAGGGACAGGAAGGGGAGGGCGACAGGGTTCAGCAGGGGTCCTTTAAGGAGGCTCATGAAAGGGAAGGGATTTGTCACTTGACATGGAAAAACTTGTAAAAACACGTGCTCGTGATCCCGAGTCACCAGTTTGGACACATTTGCACTAGTGCCCACTGCCTCTGTTTCCGGTCCTCACCATCTCTGGTGGTGGATTCTAGACCAGAGGCCAGACCCTCCTACCCTGGTTATGGTGCCGGGTGACTGTGTTCTCTCAGAATGACAGATGGTAGCTGCAAGCAATGTTTTTAAAAGTTTCCACATCAAGAACAATGAATAGCGTCTTGAGGAGTCTGTTTCCTGATGTATTCATGCACCGCCCTTACACCCAGCATACATTTCCTTTCACATCTCATATGTAGACAGATACGAACCTCCTTCAGATATCACAGCCACTGCCGGAGTTTATAGAATGGACATTTAATATACTGTCGTCATCCAGAACTTTAAAGTACCAAGTCTGTACTATTAGTTTTGAGTAGCACTTATGAATTGCTTGAAAATATACATTCAGTCTGTCTCACTGTATGTTAAGTTGCATGTATTTCAATATTATGCTCTGAATGTGAAGGTTAACAGTGTTAATCCACCAGGATATAATGTATAAAGAGCAATACAGAAAATAGCACACTTGCCTCAATTAGCTACTGTGCATCGAAATACATTAGAAAGACATTCATTAGTTTATTATTTCCTTTCAGAAGCTGGCCTCGATTCTTACTGCTGAGGCACTGGGCCAGATGCTGAGGAAAAGAACTAGAATAAGGCACCAGAATAAGGCAGCTCTCCCCTGCTCTTACGGAAGCTTACAGAGACCTAGAGGTTTGCAAGACTCCTTATAACTGTGAGCTTCAGTGATCTTTTAGTGCAAAGTGGAGCAGATGCTTTTTGCATTGAGTGTTAGTTTAGTTGTCTTTGCGAATGCTTCTTTTTTTTCATAATATGCAGCTTCATTCACAAACACTGGGTACACGGTACAGTCTCCATCCAGTGGGATAACCTTTCCATCAAGAGACACAAATACAGGATCTCCAGGGTGCAACGGTTTCCAGTCTTGATCCTCCCAGGAAACATCAAAATACATAAATTACATTTGGCTTTTTCTCTTGTTTTTAATTTTTTCTGTCAGATTGTAGATAACTAATATTGTCGACTAAACAAGGCATTCTCTATTAGAAAGAGACACAAAAGGGATGCCCTGAGAAGCATGTGAACCCTCTAACACCAATGCTTCCAACTATAGGCACCAAGAACACCTCAGGCTTCGCTGTGCTTGCCAAGCATTGGGAGTTGGCTAAGATGGTTCTCTAGGCCTGGGCAGAGCCTGGGACCTTTCTCAGCAGCAGCAGCAGCAGCAGCAGCAGCATCTGGAAGTCTGTTAGAAAAGTAGAGTTTCGCCCCCTGCTGAGGCCTATTGAACACCAATCTTCCTGTGAATAAACTGCCAGGGATTGAGAAGAGCTGCCCACAGTACTTTTTCTCAGTCCTGCTTGCACTTCAGAATCACCTGGGCAGCTAACATGCTCTTGTCCCTGTGAGAGGAGCTAGCCTTATCTCAGAAACACAAAACCGTTCTCTGGATCTCAGGGAGCACAGGCTTAGTAGCTATTCCGATTTTTTACGGAGAAAACAAACCCGTGAATCTGCTTTGTAGAAGCTGTGTGCGCATGCGTGCACGTGCAGGCTGCCGAGAACTTAGCTCAGAGTACTGTACATGCTAGCTCTACCACTGAGCTACAGTTCAAGCTTTCTTTTTTTTAAACATTTGCTCCAGCTGGCCCGAACTCATCTTGTGGCCGAGGAAGGCTTTTTAATTTGCGCTCCCCCTGGCTTAGGCTCCCCATGTAGTTGGAATTCCAGGCTTATGCCACCAGACCTGGCTCCAGCCGCTCCTTATGGTCTAGCAATTCTAACAATCTCTCCTGACTTTTGGGACCCGACAGGGATCCAGTTGGTTACTGCCCTCAGCCAGTCTTCTCAGCCTCTCCAGGATTACTTTTGAAGTTTTGAAGGATATCACTGGTGAAAATACACTTGAGCAGTCCTGTGTCTGAGGCTGGTGTGGCACTGTCAGCTGGCCTGTATTTCCTGAACTTACCACACTCTGTCTTTGAAAACAGCTGCTCATGGCTCCTTTTGGTTTCTACTCAGCACCCGTGAAGCTACAGGCAGGATGTGCTCTATAGGTCTGAATTTGTGGGCTTTATGAGGCTGACTAGAGTCATTAAAGTAGCGATTTGAATTGGGTCAGTGGTTTTCAAACATGAATACTCAGGCAATAATGTCGATTGTCTGAGATTCTTGGCCCTGTATTTAGAAGGCTCTCCTTTATGAAGGGACTGGAGGGGAGAGAATCTGGGGAGAAGAGAGGTGGGAGGAAGCTGGGAGGAGTGGAGGGAGGGGAAACTGTTGTTGGGACGTTTTGTGTGAGAGAAGCATCTATTCTCAATAAAAAAGAAAGCTCTGTAGGTAACGTGTACCCGAGGTTTAAAGGCCTTATACAGATGGCCTTCCAGGTCTTCTTCACCTCTAGGCTTCCAGGTTCTACCCTGGGGAGTGGGTGTTGTAGCTTTTGGACCTTTCTTCTTCCCTGCCTTTCCTTCAACCTCCACAGACTTCAGCCTCCTAAGTACCCTGGGAGCTCCTTCACTCTGTCATTATTGATTAAATCAGGCAAGGTGTGGCACTGGGATTCCAAGGAGTGTCAGAGGGTCATGGCAGGAATGTCCCAGAAAAACAAGTCCAGGAAGGGGTCAGCGGTGTGGCCAGCTGCAAAGGTCATTAGCTGGAGGCCTGTCATCATAGCTGTGTATCTATGGGACACTTCTGGTTTTTCCTTTCCCTTTTGTCACTCTCTCCTTCTCTCCTCCTAGCTTCTCTCTTTTGGAGATAAACTTTCCTATTAGTCTAGGTTGGGCTCAAATCTTGCTGCATCAGCCTCCCAAGTGCTGGGATTACTAGCATGTACCGCAATGCCATTCTCTCTCTCTCTCTCTTTTAACCTTAAGATTTTAATAGGAAGTATCTGATTTTGTGAGTTGTACTCACAGATTTATGAAAGAATAGAAACTTTTGTACACATTTCATATTAAATACCACAAATAATAGTTTTCCTTTAAATATATGTTCCTGGAGGTGAGGGTGAGACTGGTAGGATAGGAGGGAGGAGGCTTCAATCAGGCTGTAGAGTGATTAAATAAATAACTTAATGAAAAACTATGGGAAGGGGGAAAGAGTGTAAGGGCTCAGGAATTAAAAGCTAGATTGAGGTGTGGAAACACTCTACTGTAATGCCAACCTCGTCAGGCTGAGTGAGATAGGAGGAGCATGACTTTGAGCCAGCCTAGGTGGGCCACAGTGGGAAACATGGTCAAAAAAATACAAGGCAAAAACAAACAAAAAAACAAAATGTATATACTTTTCCTCACCCATTGCACATGGGTAGGATTTTTCTGTTCCAGAAGTCTTCTTTGGACGCTTCTCTCCCCTCCTTATGAGGTTACAACATCTTGTTAGTGTCATTTCTAAAGAGTATGTCGGACCTTCAGTGTTTCCAGACTATCAGTGCATGAGACCATAGGCCACACTAACAGATGTCCCCTAGAGCTAGCACACGCTGTATGTAGTGAGTGCTGACAGGAGGCTTGGTCCCTCCCTGCCACAGTTTGGGATGGGTAGTCTCTCCCATGGTCCAGGTGTTAGAGGCTCAGTCCCTAGACCAGTGCTGTTAGGAAAAGATGTGGGTCTTAAGAAGTGTCTCCTTGTGAGAATCTCTTAGGTACTGAGGTCCTGTCCTGCAGTCACTGTATGTCTTTGCTTGTGCAATTAATTTACTTATCACACGCTCCTGCCACAGCTCCGAAGTACTGTGGCTACTCTTGGACTGGAACCTCCAGAATGCTGAGCAGAAATAAGGCTTTTCTCTTTATTAGTTGTGTTGTTTAGTTCATTATAGTAATGGAAAGCAGACTGATGCACAATACTTATTTACTAATAAATAAGCTCATGTGCATAAGCTCATGCTGTGTGAATGGTCAAGTTATACCCCAAAGTAGGATACTATTATCTCCACTTTTACTTTACTTTTCTTTCTTCTTTTTGAGACAGGGTTTCTCTGTGTAATAGAGCCATGGCTGTCCTGGACTCGCTTTGTAGACCAGGTTGGTGCCTAACTCACAGAGATCTGCCTGCCTTTGCCTTTGAGTGCTGGAATTACAGGCATGAGCCACCATGCTCAGCTATTTTCAATATTTCAAAGAAACAAATGTTACCTGCAGATTAGGATGGATAACAGCAGCAACGTCTCCATTTTCATTTCTTGGATAATCAACTTTCTCCATTATTTTATAGACTTCAATAGCACAGGGAGGAAATTCCTTTCCTATGGAAAGAAATGAGATGCGTGCTAAAAAGAGATGTCCTAGATAAAGGGGGAGGGGGAGCTGACACGTTGCAGAAGGAAGAACAACAAGAAGGGAAGAGGGCAGCAAGTCAAGGATGGAGGCTCATAAACACTGAGAAGCCAAACACGCTCCCGTCAGTACACTTCCCAGAAATTTGTGATAGACAGAGGCAAACACAGAAGATACACATATCAGTGTTTGCTAGAACACTCAGGACTGCTGGGCCCTCTTCTCCTGGTTTTCCTAGCTGTGTGTTCTTGAGCAACATGCTGGCCATCTGCAGGCTCAGGTTCATTATCTGTCAAGTGAAAGTTTGGATAAATTTATGGCAGAAGCCAGATAGCTTGCTGGTTGGTTTTGTGAAGAAACACAGTCACGAAATGTCAGAAGAAAGAGCTCTGCCATAAATTTATAATATGACTAAGACACCATGTCTTCCATCAGGGTTGTGGCCTTCCACTGGGATGTATCATTTCTTAACACACTATGGTTTCACACTTGGTATTTGAGGACCTGCTGTGCATATGTTCTGACCTTTCTACCAGACAGTATAGATCTGTCCTCAGATGAAGGTAGTGAGAACTGATTTTTCAGTTTTCATGACCTTTTTAAGGTGGAAGGACTCCCAAGTACCGAAGCTCCTGTGAGCACCCACAGTGCACATCTGAGGCTAAGGGACACTTCTTGCCACAGCCTGAGATGCCCACAGTCACATCATCAGCACTGCACATTCCTCCACACAGCCAAACGGAATTATTTACATAGGCTGTGTCCGAGACTTTTAAAGTTTTTAAGTTTTAAAAAAGTTTTAAAGTTTAAAGTTTTTTTTAATTTAAAGCAAATTGTCCTATAATTGTTGTACTTCTTAGTACAGTTTTAGATTTATTACATGAGCAGAGGTCCAGAAGATCTACCCACCCACCTCTTCACCAGTTACCACCCAGCTGTTAATTACAGACATAACATAAACATATTGTTGCTAACTGTAACTAAAAATTAGCCTGGCTTAGCCCTTTTCTCAGCAATCTCGATTATAGCTTAGTGTGTTTTATTCTAAGCTTTTCATATATATATATATATATATATATATATATATATATATATATATATATGCTTTTCATAATTTCTATGTGTATATGAAGACACACACACACATACAATGGGATAATTATTTTAAAGACAAAGTTGCACTGTGTAGCCCAGGTTGGTCTTTAATTCATTTACCTTATGCTTCAGCCTTTCTAGAACTTAGATTACAGATATGCACCATCAGACTTAGCTTACTACTATTACTTTTAAAGTCAATTTGTTTACTGTATGCCTTGGTCTGTTGCTTGCTTGCTAGTGTCTGTGTGTGTGTGTGTGTGTGTGTGTGTGTGTGTGTGTGTGTGTGTGTGGCTGTGTGCCCCCACATGCATGTGAAAGTTACAGCAGGATGGTGAGTGTTGTCCTTTGTCACTTTCTACTTTATTGCTTTGAGACAGGTTCTCTCGCAAAGCTGGAAGCTTGGTATTTTGGCTAGGCTGGCTAGCCAGTGAGATCTCAGCATTCAGTGGTCCCTGCCCCACAATGCTGAGGTTACAGGCATGGTCAGCCATGCCTAGCTTTTTATGTGGGTGTTAAAGATTCAAGCTCAGGTCCTCTTGCCTGCAGATCAAATGTTGATACCTGCTGAGCCATCTTACTTTTTCAAAATTAACAGCTTCCTTTTTAAAAATTAACTTTTTGGAAGAGTGTCCAATTTTAGTTTATTGAATTCTTCACAGCTGTTGAACAGTTGGGTCATTTCCATTGTTTTACTGTTGGAGACAAAGCTGCAATAGTCAGTCCTTATGTAGCACACTAGATATGCGTGTGATCGCTCTTCTTTATGATATGGAGTTGCTGGGTCATGTGATGTGTGCATGTTAAGAAGGACATGCTAGAGATGTAGAGCAGGCTCAGTGGGTAAGAGCACTTGCTCAGCACACATGAAGACTTGGATCCTAGAACTCAAGTAAAAAGCCATGTGGCCATGTGTCCCTGTAACCCAGAGCACTGAAGGCACTGCCAGCCTAGCTGCAGGTTCAGAGAGAGCTCCTGTCCTACAGGGATGAAGCAGAGGGTGTTTGAGCAGGACACTAAAGTACACAGTAACGTACTCATGCTCATATACCATAGGCCATGCTCCTTTCCCCATACAAACAACAGATAAGCAAAATAATATATATATATATAATGGAATATGAAAAAGAATATAAAACAAAAATAAAATTATCCTCTAAAGGGTCTTTACCAAAAGTAAAGCAGAAAGTAATGAGCATATTTTCTTTTTCTACACTTTGCCAAAATTTAATATCAGAAATGTTATCAGATTTGAATATTTTCTTAATCTAATAAGTGAAAAGTCTGTCACTTGAATTTGTACTCCTTTGCTTACTCATGATGCCGAGCATCTTATGTTTATTGGACACTTGAACTCCCTAGTCTTTTCTATGTTTTAGCTAGCATATATTTGCCATACACAGTGATGGGCTTTGTTTTAAAATGCATAAGTAATATATTTTGATCATATTGACCCTCCATTCTTCTCCCATGTCCCTTTCCCACTCCTGTCCATCTCTTCCTGCTTCTCAGTTAGATCTTTCTCCTTTTGTGTCTTTCTTCTAATACACTGAGTTTCGTTAGGGTTGCTTACAGGAGCCTGGTGAGGGGTAATTTACAGGCGCATGGACAATTTACAAGTGGCTATCCTACTGGAGAAAATGTCTCTCCTCCACAATATCCATTACCGTCTAGATCCTCACAGCAGGGTGGGCCTCATCTGTCTTTGCTGTTTAAAATAGAAATTACTGGGGAAAGGGAAATTAGTTTATTTGAGAGCTTTATTTGACAGTTGTCTTTCTTGAATGAGCCTATTGGTCTTTCCCTGAGAAATCGTTGAAGTAAAAAGCAATCTTCAGAAAGCATTTAGGAACTGACTGTGGCACACAATTTCCCAACCCTTAGGAAACTGAGGCAGGAGGACTGAGAGTTTGAGGCTGACCTGGGCTATGTAGTAAGACTTTGGAAACAGAAAGGAGCGGTAGGAAGAGACAGAGAGAGCTAGACAAGATCATAGATGTGACAAACATGGCCTAGATTCTCATTACTATTTCAGTGTTAAGTGGGTAAGTTCTACACAGAGACACCCACTCACGGTTAAGCCGTGTATGCAAACACAAGGAAACAACTGCCACCCACCACTCACCTTTATTGAAATGGTGTATAAAGTCAAGAGCATGTTTAATCATTCTTCTCATTTGGTCCAAAATATCAGCTCTCAGAACACCTTGAGGCTGAGGACCAACTTCTATACCTATGTACGGAAGGAGACACAGTCATTTTTACACACATAGTAGAATATGTTGAAAAATTAAACATTTAAAATATAAAGATCTAGAATCCCAGTGTTATGACTGTTTAATCTCATTAAAAATAATAGAGACAAGGACAGAGTAAATACAGAACACAGAAACCTACAAAGCTGTGCTGAAGTAAGAAGTCAGGGTCACCTCTTTCTTTTATATTTCCTTCGGTATTGTCAAAACATTAAAAACTTATTACCTAGTGAAAGATGTAGCACAAATGAAGCTGGCAAGTAACAGGTGGTCGCAAAGATAAATTGTCACAGACTTTCTAGTTACTTTAGCAGCAAGAAGTGTGCTTGTGCAATCAAAAGTCTAGCTAACTAAGCTTCGGGCTTAGTCACATGGCCTTTTAGCAACACTCTTGCCACTATTTCCATCTTACTGGTAAGATGGTGCAATGTTCTTTGTCTTCTATAAAATTATCTTCATTTCTTCTATCCCCCAAAGCTTGTGCCTACACTATCACGTCTTTCCAGTGGCTGCTTAGGCATCCATCCTCACCCCACACAATAATCTTTCCCTAAATCCCTCATCTAGCCCCTTCTGTCCACTTCCCACAGAATCACTCCTTCAGCCACCCTCTTCTCCATTCTTTAAACTATTTGCAAATTGTAATACCGCATACCCCATTCCATCCCATCCAACTCGTAGATTCCTTCGCCTCATCTTATTTTCACTTATTTCACTATTTCCAAATCTATTAAAATTTACTGTATTTTTTATTATCTACACATAAAAATTTTGTGCTTGGTTTTCTTATACATACAAACAGACCTTTCTTTACATATGTGATATCAGGGGTGTTGGTCTATGCAAAAATAATTTGTACAATGGTGCAAAAATATGTTTCTGGATATGTTTGTGCATTATGGGAGAAACTGTCCACCTCAAATTAATCTTTCTTCAATCTAACAGAACCAATATTTTGGTTGGGTATCCACAGTTCAGGGTAAAAGTACTTTGTTTTCAGCTCAAGAGTAGGTGTGGAATAGCTTAAGATGCTTATAGTAATTCTACCACTCCAGTGACTGAAGAGTCCCAAGTAAAGGATGTGTAGGGGAGACCTGAGATTCTATGTAATGAAATATTGTTATATGATATTTAGAACTACAGTGGATATCTTGTAACCACTGTACAGACACAGTCAAGATTGTGAAACAGAAAAATAAGAGAAGACTGGGCCCTCATGATGTTGACTGTTATAATTTATATTATTATTAAATGACTGTTTCATTTGATTATGTTATTTGACCACTCATTCCTTTTGGTTAAACCTCTGAGAGCTAACAAAGTAAGATGCTTTAATAGAATTTTAATTGTAATGTTCAGGTTATCTGCAGGACAAAGTCTTCTATATAGTCTTTGGGGAAAATCGAAGTGTGGCATGGTGGATCTATCTGACAGCCTGCCTGTCTGCCTGCCTGCCTGTCTATCCATTTTGAAGTATTAAAATATGAGGCAAGAACTCTATTACTCAGGCCACACTTTGGTTTATTTAGACTATGTAATATTGGATATTTAGCTTATATTATGTATGCTTATTTGGGTATAGTACTCTAACTATAATAATTAATTATTTTAGCCATGTAACAAAAAAATCAATTTGAATAGTCAGAACTATTTTTTGTTTTGTTTTTCGAGACAGGGTTTCTCTGTGTAGACTTGACTATCCAGGACTTTCTTTGTAGATCAGTCTGTCCTCAAACTCATAGAGATGTGTCTTCCTCTGCCTCCCTGAGTCCTGGGGTTACAGGCGTGTGCCACAGTACCTGGCGTCAGAGCTATTTTTGAAAAATTTCATTTGCTTATATTATATGTCAACTCTTTCAAATTACTGTTGGTTAAAACATCTGAGATCTAACAGATTTAAGTTGTATTAACAACTTTATTTACAGTGTGGTGTACAGATAATTTGTGTATGATTAGTTCTCTTAGCAGGCTTCCCAGGAAAGAGAATGGAGCTGCCCTAGGCAGTTCACCACTACAGATAATTATCTGCTTACAGCCTCATCTTCTCACTAGACACTGAGCTCTGGGAGGTAAGACTATGTGTCTTCTTCACGGCTACATCCTAAGGACCTAGCACAGTATTGTGCTCTAATACAGATTCATATGGAATATGCACATTCTGGCAATAACCATGGGGAAGGTCGGAGAAGCATCCATAGAACGTTCTGTTCCACTGAGTTTTGGGAATGAGGAGAATGTCAGACTAACTGGAAAGTCTGAATGTTACAGCAAAGGAAATAATACAAATAAATCCAGAGTTCTGCTCAGAGAAAGCCAGGAAATTAGGTATGGTTATGACTTGTCTACAGTTAATCTGCTTACCAGATAGTTATAAGATTAACTAAGTTATGCTCTTTATGTTTCAGTTAAGCTGTACTTTCTTTACCTGAGGCAGCAGGAAGTATGACTTACCAACAGGATACTTGGCAATGGAACGAGTGGTTGCATATTTGAGGAAAGGATGCTCAATGAGGTAAACATAGCAGGGTAATGGAGCCAAGGAAGTCTGAACAGAATTGAAAACATCTTTCTTAGTATGCAAAGAATGTTTTGTTCTCTTGGCTGCTACCGAGTCAATAGTCCCTTCAATATGCTTTACTTCATAGTTTAACATTAGCTACACAGCCTTGTAAAATGTTCTCTAAAGCTTAATGCTATAGCTTTGAAAACATACAAATGAATTACATATAAATCAAATTATATTAGCTTTTATTTGGCAATGAAACAAATTATATGGGCAAAATGTACACAAAATAATAACCCAGTGTACAAACCAAAAATAGGAAACAAATATTTCTTCTGAACACATTTGGCTACTTTTGCTTTTATCTTTGTTTGCTCTTACTATTTAGCAGAGTATTGGTCTTAGTTCTTAAATTCTTTTACTACCCGTGGTCCAGATCTCTACAGATATTGGGTTACCCAACTTCTGTTTTTTTCTATTTGAGACAGAGTCTTACTATGTAGCCCTGGCTTGCCTTGAACTTACTATGTAGACTAAATTTATCTCTCACACACAAAGATCCTCCTGCCTCTGCCTCCTGGGTTCTGGGATTAAAAGTCTGTGCCACCACACCTGGACTAGCCTCTAGGCTTTCATAACTAACTATAAGCTATATGGTTTCACATAGTGAGAATTTTTAGTTTCTTTAGAAACACAGAAATGCCAACAGAGTCCATGTCAGAGACAGAGCCCCTGCTCCCCTTACCAAGGACCGACATGGAGACTGAGCTGCCTGTCAAGCTACATCTGAGCAGGGGGTCTAGATCCTCTCCATGCATGGTCCTTGGTTGATGCATCAGTCTCCACAGGATCCCTCACTCCCACCCCTGGATCCAGATTTGTTGGCACTGTTGGTCGTCTTGTGGAGCTCTTGTCTCCTCCAGGTCCTTCTACCCCTCCCACCCCCCACTCTTCCACAAGACTCCCTACACTCAGCCCAAAGTTTGGCCGTGAGTCTCAGCATCTGCTTCAGTCCCCTGGTGGGTGGAGTCTTTCCGAGGGCATCTATGGTAGCCCCGGTCCTGTTCCCTCTCTTCAACCACGTCCAGTGTCTATTCTATTTGCCCATCTGAATGAAAACTAAGCATCCTCCCTAGGGTGCTCCTTGTTGTTTAGCTTCCTTAGGTCTGTGGATTGTAGTATGGTTATCCTGTATTATATTGCTAATATCTGCTTATATGTGAGTACATACCATGCTTGTCTTTCTGGGTCTGGGTTGCCTCACTCAGAATGATCTTTTCCAGATTCATCTATTTGCCTGCAAATTTCATGTTGCCATTGTTTTAAATATCTGAGTGGTACTTCATTGTGTAGATGCACCACAGTTTCTTTATCCATTCTTCAGTTGAGAGACATATGGGTTGGTTTCAGTTTCTGGCTATTAAGAATAAAGCTGCTAGGAACATAAAGTCTCTATGAACATAGTTGAGCAAGTGTCTTTGTTATATGGTGGAGTATCTTTTGGGTATATGCCCAGGAGTGGTACAGCTGGTTCTTGAGTTAGAGCTGTCCCAAATTTCTAAGAAAGTGCCAGATTGATTTCCAAAATGGTTGTACAAGTTTGCACTCTCACCAGCAATGGAGGAGGGTTCCCCTTTCTCCACAACCTTGCCAGCATGTGCTGTCACTTGAGTTTTTAATCTTAGCATTTTGATGGGTGTAAGATGGAATCTCAGAGTCATTTTGATTTGCATTTTCCTGATGACTAATGACACTGAGTATTTTTTAAAGTGCTTCTTGGCCATTTGATATTCCTCTGTTTAGCTCTGTACCCCATTTTTAAATTGGATTATTTAGTTTGCTGGTGTTGTTGACTGCTATTTGAGCATTTCCTCCTGGTGGGAACAGCCTTGCCAGACCACAGAAGAGGAGGATGCAGCCAGTCCTGATGAGACTTGATAGGCTGGGGTCAGTTGGTAGGGGAAGAAGGTTCCCCTGTTCTGGGGACTAGGCCAGGGAAGCGGGGGGTGGGGTGGGTGGGAGGGGAGCGGAGGCTGGAATTGTGATGAGACAAGGGGGGGCCAACAATTGGGATGTAAAGTGAATAAATTAAAAAAATTAAATTAAAAAACAGAAATGTTATGGGAGTATGTTTTTGTTTGAATCTCGGGTGTGGAATATGCTGCTTCAGATTGTCCACAGCAGCTGGATGATTTGCCAGGTGCTCTAGCAGGGGCATGATTTTGCCAGCTGAAAATAGTTTACATTTGGAATTCTGGGGACTCTTCAGAGAGTCTATAAATGCCAGCACCCCAAGAGAGGCAGTGGTTGCCACCTGCCCCACTGCTGCCAGCCATTGCCCTTGTTGCTGTTGCTGGTTGTTGTTTGCTCCTGTTGCTGTTTGCTGGATTGCTGGTTGGAGATATCCTATGACTAAGATTAAAATTTCCCCAAGGAACACGATGACCCTCATTAGTAGAAAGAAGTCTGGAGATACTGATGCTCCCTTTGTCTTGTAACCTTCTCTCCACCTAGTGTTTGCAAGTTGGAAGGGATAGGGGTGATGTAGGAAGGTAAGAAAAAGAACACAATAAAGTAGCCAAAAGTTCATGTATGGTAACTAAAGCACTCCAACTTTCTCTTCAATGAAAAAGGGAGAGCTGCATTGTGGTCTTCCACCAGAATCACTAAGTAGTTACTGTCAAAACTCAAGGGAAATGAAAAACAGCTAACCTTAACTATAAGTTACAAAAACGAATGAGGCAATTTATTATCCCAGCATCCTTGGTTCTAAATGCTTCTTATTGGCAGCTGCCATCTGTCTGGTGATATTATTCAGATCTCTTTGTTCCTGAGTTGTTGTGTCTCCCATCTTGGGCCCATTCCATCATTTTTGTCTTTTCCAGGGACCCCATGAGCCACACTTTTGGAGCCTCTGCTGAAGTGAGTGCCTGGGTCTCCCACCATTTCTCTGCTGTCTCCACAGATCTTGGTCATGGAGCCAAGCCCAGTGCCACTGCAGAGGCACAGGTGTCATGCTGCAGAAGCAGCTCGTGTGTAGAACCAGCTCTCATCATAGGCGTAAGCCCTTGATGTCTGGCCAGCTTGATTGTGTCCATTATCTTGGGAGCTTTAGGCTTCCTGATTTTTGAGGAAGGCTGCCAAAGCTCTGAAGATCTCCTGCTGTTTAAAATCTTTTACAGTAACTCCAGGCATCCTGTGGCCACCATGGAGCCAGCCAGTGGCTAGAGGCTACATCTTAAGCTAAGTGCTTTGTCTACTCTAACTCATTGAAGGCTTTTAGCCTCCACATGGAGTTAAGTGTTATTATGCCATTTAACAAAATAAGGAAAGCAAAGTTTTGGGAGATGACTCTTATCCAAGGTTAATGAATGAGAAAGTCAAGATTTGAACTCAGGTTTTCCCAGCTGTCTGCATCAAATTCTTTCTATTAAGTCATACAAGCTCCCAGGAAGAAAGAATATTTATTATATAGAAATAAACATATAATTCAGTGTTTGTGATTTGGTTGTTATTCTAGCAAATTTTTCTCTAGTTGTAGACATTGGATGGTGGAAGTTTTCATTCTGCATATTTCTGAGCCTCATGTTGAAGCTGAGTATAAGTAATGCTCAGCATTCAACTGCATTTCCAGTGAGCGCAAGGATGCTCCTGGCTGCCAAGGCTGGAGTCTTGATGCACTCATGAAACACACACTGAAGAGCATAAGTGTGTCAGTGCATAGAAACCTAATGGGGCCAAGGGCAAGATGCTAGGAAGCCAAGTCTCTTTATCCTAGAACTCTAGTCAACACTGAGTGATCTCTAAATGATCTTCCTCTGCAATTGAGATGCTTCAACTGCACCATTTAAATTTTGATATTAATTTTACTTGGTTTTACCAAATATTGCATGTTTGGTGGCCATCTGAATAAAATTTATAACTTTGTAAATTCAGGTATCACAGGTGTTTTATTATTTTACTCATTGTGTTTATTTTACTTTCTTCTCTTTGTCACCACTGTCTCTGTATAGTGTCATCCAGCCTCTCATTTGGCTATGGAAAGCAATCCATTTCTCTTTGTCCTGTCTTCCCGATATCTTTCAATAACGTAAAAGTAATGATCCTAAGATAACACAACAACACTGAGATTACCTTAATATAGTGAAACATCTGGATCAAAAAGTCATTCCTGGAATCTTCAAGAATAAGAGTGCAGCCCATGTTAGAAGTAGTGTTATGAAGGTCAAAAACGACATCGTAGCAATCATCACTATTTTTTGGGCCAAATAAGTAATTTATTTCTTGAGCCCTTCTCACTTCATATGGCAAATCCTCAGACATCTGTTTGCTGTAGAAAGAAAAGGATTAGCAATGTATATGGCTATGAAAACAAAAATAGACAACAGAAACAGTACACAAAGAACCAGCTATAAACCTTGTATATTAAAAATCCAAGAGAGAGGCCTGGTGGTGGTGGTGCACACCTCTGTTCCCAGCACTGGGGAGTCAGAGGCAGACAGATCTCTGAAGGACAGCCAGAGCCACACACAGAAAAACCCTGTCTCAAGAAAAAATCTGCAAGGGTCGTGACAACCTATCTGAAACTCTGCAAATGAACAAGGATACTTTTGTCCAGCTGATTTCACAGGCCCAGCGCTGCAGTGGTGGGCTTATAAAATGGTAGGTTTGCTTATGTGGCTGGCAGCAGGCAGGCTTTGCAAACAGAATTTGCCATGTGACTTTAATCTTGAATACATATGGCCTTTACTTCTGTAAGCACTTGGGGTTCCCGTGCAGTGCTGATTTCCTTTGGGGCAAGGCCATCGCCCCACCACTGTGTTCCAGTGCAAAGAGGGCCTCAAACTCAGGTGTGTGTGTCTGTACTGGGCATTTGAAACTGAAAACTTGGAGCAGCTAGTGAATCAGAAACATATTTATATGCATTTTTTGTACAAATTCTCTTCAACAAGGGTTGATCAGTGATCACTATACTCTCAGGTAGGTCTCTGCCCATCCTCTCCTTACCACTGACAATCTTACAATTGTTACTTTTTTTTAAAAAAACAGTGCTAAAGATTGAACCCTGGGCCTCAACTAGCTAGTTAAGGGTCTTCACTGAACTACAGTCCCGAGACGCCCTCCTTGTTCTTTTGAATTTCGAGACTCTCTTGCTAATTTTCTCAGGCTAGCTTTGAATTTGTTCTGTGGCCCAGGATGGAGGACTGCCCTTGTCCCAGCCTTCTAAGCAGATGGAATTACAGGCCCTGGGCTGTCTGAACAAAATGTACTCTTTCACAGATGCAAGAATTCATGAAGTTTTTTTTTTTTTTCATTACTTTACTCATTGTTTTTATTCTTTCCCTTGCTGCCTCTCCTTTTCTTCTCCCGTCACCACTGCCTGCACCCAAGTAAAGCACTTCATCAGCCTCTCAGTTTCTATGGAATAGAACCATGAGAGTGTTTTATACATGATAATGACTTAAATCTATGCTTCTCTATTAAGTCTCTCAATGACACAATTTTTAAAACATAACTCCATATATTTCTATTACCTGGCTATTTTTAAGGAATTTATACCAGAGCCTTTACTGCCTGAAAATCATATCTGCAATCAAGAAGGTGCATAAGCCATTTTGTGACTATGAAGCAAAGAAAAAAAAATATGGAAGAAAAAAGTGCAAGATAGAGAAGCTCAAGCATGGGTGACATCAGGTAGCTACTGCACCGGCCCGGGACCACCTTACGTTTGGACACAGTTTACACACAAAAAACCCTTTTTGTTAAGATTGCCGTTCTTGAGTTTCTATTTGCAATCAAAACACCAGTCTTAATGTGAATGCAACACACGCGTGCACACATTCCACAGACCTTTACATTAGTTCACGAGGTCACTCCAGAACCTGTTTATTTCCATTTGGGTAAATGGCACCATTACCCACTCAGATGCTCAGAGTCAAGGGCTTAAGTTTGGAAGATAGTGGGCACTCCGAATCCCCACGCTTGGGTCTGGTCACCACTGGAAGAGTTCCACAGCAGCAGACCTTGCCCAGGACATGTACAGCCGCACTGCTACAACTGCTGTGCTGCCACAGTAGGTTGTTTAGGTCCATTCTGGACAGGCGATTTGAAGTAGACTTCCAAGAGTGGAATGGCAGAAGATTTCTAGGCTCGGGTCAGTCTTGCGGCTGCCACATGAAGAACACACGGGGGCAAGATGGTGTGGGTAGAGCCTCTAGATCCTGCCCACCTGCAGAGGAAGGCTAGCTTTGTGGAGCTGCTAGTTTTGTGGAGCTTTTTAAATATATTTATAGTACAGAGAGAAGTCAGGGCTTTTCCATGCTGAGCAAGCACTCTCCCATCTGAGACACATCCTCAGCCCACTTCATTTTATTTATTTATTTTTATCTTATTATTTATTTATTTAATTTATTTTAAGGCAGGATCTTGACAAGTTGCCCAGGCTGGCCTTGCCCTGCCTCGGCTTCCAGTGCAGCTGAGATTACAGACCTGTGCTAGAAGGCCGGCTGCTCTGTGGAATTCTTGTAAAGAGTGTGTGGGAGGAGTTACCACACCAGACAAGGGGGCTGGAGAACAGAGAAGGCTCTAAAGTTGCTTCTGAAAGGGATTTTCGGTGACACTGTTGAAATATGGAATCTAGGAAAAGGCAACATGGGAGGGGTTTGTTGATTTATTTATCTCATAATTTTTACAACTATCATGAGACAGGGCTATCTAGCCTCTGAAGAGTAAAGACTAAGAAACAGAAGGTGAACCCAACTTAAAGTGTCACAGTCACTGAGAGGCCATTCTGGGCTATTCCCAGGAAGAAAACTCACCCCAGTCTACTTCAGAGTTACCTGAGAGGTTGATATGTAGGTTAAAAGATTCATTCTTCAATAAATATTACTTTTAATATATTAGTTAGATAATAGCTATTTTAGGTAAATAAACATTGATTGTCCTGTTGTAACCTCAATCACGAAGATAAAGTATTTCTGAAATTTAAATTATGCCAGTAAAATTATTTGGCATATAAAATACCACTTGGACAACAAATATTTTGTAAAGGCAAAATTTGTTTTATTTACATTTCTTTTGTTCTGTAGTAAGACTGGACCCAAGAATTCTCTTTACTCAACCTAGCATGTATCAGCAAGCAGGTGCACAGTCTGCTTACACAGGCCTATACTCCCAGCCTCTTGACAGCGTGAGGCAGAGGATCAAAAGTTCAGAGCGAGCTCAAAGCCAACCTGGTTAGTTTAGTAAGACCTTGTCTCAGAATAAAAATTAAAAGAGTTTAGATATGTGCATGAAAATAACCTCACCTAGCCTAGTACATTAAAACCAGAAAGCGGGCTCAAGAAGCTATCAGCTGCTCCCCCGTGCCTTATGCCTTAGCTAGCAGCCTACTAACCACCTGGGGTAAAAATTATTGCGTACTCAGCTTTTACATCCGCAACACCTAGCAGATGTTTAACAATATTTTTAACTTAAATTAAAAAAAAAAAGATGCTAACTAAGAAAACACCTAGAGGCATTGACAATAACAAATACTATGATTTGGACTAAGGTAAAAATGACTTTTTATTACCGACCTAGAGTGGTGACTACACACACTAGCTGTGATCCAAATCCAGAAGGGCCTGAGGAAGTGTCTCCAGCCCTCATTTCCTCAGTGATGATAAGCCACTACTAGAGATAAGCATGTCTACCCCCAGACCACAGACAGACCTGATGCTCTCTGGATGCCTACTCACGCTTTCAGTCAACAAATACTAGTCAAAATGCCATCATTTTCTCAGCTAGAACTTTATCAAACACATCTACAAAGAAGCAGAGTGCTGAGTTTCCCACAAAACGGTATAATGACCAAACAGCAATTTATTTTTACTTTCTGAGAGTAATTTAGATTTTTATATGTTACCCCAAGACAAATTTAATACAGAGGATTATTAAATTTGCGTCTTTCAAGTCACAAATAAAGATCTTTCTTATTTGTCACCATATACTGGATGGCATACAAATCAGAGAAGATTTAGAAGGGCCTGGTGCTCTTCTAGTTTCTGAGTTTACAACAGAGCACATGGGTGCCCACAATGCAGTGTGATTAAAAGTGAAAGTGATCTTATTCGGCAGACGCTCTACGTGTGGATGAGACCACTTGGGAGGAGCATTTACATGTTCACTCTCCCAATGACGACCACGTTCCACCCAAATACGCTCTCATAGAACATAGAACACAGTCTTACCTAAGATTTTCAAGGTTAAAAACACGATTCAGGTCACAGTCAATGTATCTGGTACATTTCTCCACTGCTCTTGGGTTGGTAATGAATGGTTTCACCTCCAGCCCTTCTCTGTGAATTTCAGCACCATTCTTTAGCCAGTGAGTAACAAGAAACACTCCAGTCAATTCATTTCCATGAGTCCCTCCAAAGATAGCAATCTTTTTAATAGGTTCTTCAGCAACACAAGAGGTCATTTTACCAAATAGTCTGGTCTGATTTCTGCAATTTAGAAGAAAGGAGGTCAAAGGACTCAACTTCTCAGAAAAGTTTCCAAGTTTAGATCTGAGTGAGAAGTGCAAAAGTACAGAACTCTCTTGAGTACTTAACAATTGTTTCTGTCACAACTTCTGTGCCTGTTTATTCTATGGACACTCCCTTCTGCAGCCCCTCCCTTTACCATATTTGGATTAAAATATGCAAGGATCAACTAGAGAGGCAGCTGTTAACTTCTAACCCCCTCGGATGGTCAGCAGATATAAGTACAATTGTATTTTCATTGCCTGCTATAAAAATTCTGTTTTCATTTCAGAATGATTACTTATAAAATAATACCACATTAAGCCCAATCCTCTCAAATATAACAAGGTGGTTTATTCAATGTTTATGTTTCCACTGACATTTAAAACCATTTCTGAAGTGAGTAAGGCACTTTTCAAAATCTGAAGGCATTTGAGTCTCTTTTTAAAAACAGCCAAGCTCAGACCTCTTCTTGAAAAGAAGGTCCTTTCTTTCAGCATGCAGAGGCACAAGAGCACAGTCACTGGCAGGTGGCACAGGGGGCAGAGTGCAGCGGGCAACAATCTTGCTTTCTACCCTGAGGAGAGAGCCAACTACTAAAGGTTGTCCTCTGACCTCCATATGTGTGTCTGTTCTCTCTCTTACACACACAAATAATGAATGAAATAAATTATTTTTAAAAAGTGACTTATCTTGCAACATAATACACACAAAACAACATATATGCATATATTACACATATAATAATACATTTATTTTAACCATATCATACAAGTTATGCAGACATGATCTTATTTCCTGGCATCAAAGACTCTCTTCTGGAATGTGTTGTTCTAAACGAGGTCTTATTAGGGGAACTTATCCAGAATCAGATGATTACATAGCTTTGGAGAAATAATTCTGAGCCAAATCTTACTTGAGTTCATGTTCAATTATCCAGAAAGCTAAGAATGTTAAAGTACAGGAAGTATTACATTAGCAACACTAGGTTGTTTGGTAAGGACAATAAAGCAATTATTATACAGGGCAGGTTAATCTATGTTTCCCTACAGCCATTTGCTTTTTTTTATTCATAAATTTACTTTATAAGATATAATGGGTTAGACAGACATCCTCATTGCAAGAGTAAAGGAAAGAAACAATAAGCAGCCCTATTAAGCTTCCACAGTTACATAAAGAAAGCTAGGCCCGGGAACCATGTTTTTTCATTAAGGCTACTGTTTGCCACAGGACAACAGGCTATCTTATTTTTGGACTCTTCTGAACTTCTAATTTTTCTCTTTCTGTGTTCACACAAACAGCTAACACACTGTAGAATCACAACACACACAAACAATACATGATGGAAATATAAAATGTTTCATAATATTTAATAAGCCATAGTCTCAGTTCTTTTTTTAAAAAAGAGATTATAATGCAGAAATAATACGACGTCAAATCTGCTTACACATCGGAATACTGCTTAAGACAAAATTCCTGTAGCCTTTGATTTTCTCTCTGCCTCAGCATACATAAACACTTCATGATGATGACAATCAGGTGAACGCAAAGAGAGGACAGTTCTTTTGCTCCTGTGGTTCTAATGAGCCGTGGTGAATTATTAGCACTTTGCTGTGTTTTTCCTCTCCTGCTGATCTGTGGTTTGTTCTGTCCTTTGCCCTAGTCGCTCTGGAAATGCTGCTTCAGTAACTTACTGGAGGCAGGCAGCAGTGACTCGAACTTTGAGGCTAGTTTTATGGCATTTTAACAGGTCAGCATTTTCAAGCACACTTTCACATTTTCCAAGTTTCTGTTCTGGTCCAAATGAGTAACTTCCTGGGCCATTAGTGAGTGGCAGCAGTTCCTCTACTTACCTTGCTTATTGTGTGTGGTTTGTCTCCCGCAGGAAGCTTTTTTAGAAAGCGAAAGCATTTTCTTAGAACTGGAGCAGCACAGGCTTTCACGCTCTTACATCAAGTTAACTTCCAAGAGAGTTTTAACTCCCGGCTTCCCAAAATACCAACTCAGCTTCCCACAGCACCTGGCAAGAACTACCTACTTTTATCATTTATTTCCTGAGAATTCAGAAAATTGATAGCACATTGAGTAAAATCCTTCCCACCTGTCATCACCTATCGACTAATATTTAAAATACTTAAAAAAGTGTTACTTCCAGCACTACAAATTTGTCTTGTTTTGTTAACAGGTCTTGCCAGCAAAGGCTGGCTTCAAATTCTTTATGAAGCCTTGAACGTGTCAGCCTCCTGCCTTAGCCTCCTGACTGGTGAGATAACTAATTTTTTTTAAACAAAATTATGTAGTTTAAAACAAAGGAATAGCTATGTTTGACTTTATAGTATGGCTAGCCAATAGACCAGGGCCATAAATTACATAGGAGGAATTAATTTAAGCAGAGGCTATTTCTGAGAAGATGTTCTAATTTGCTTTCTGTTGCTGTGATGGAGTACTTTGGCCAAAAGCAAACTTAGGGGAAGAAAGTGACTTCTGGGTCACAACCTGTCTTTTCGGGAAGCCAGGGCAAGAATTTAAGCAGGAACTTGAAGCAGAACCCATGGAGGAATGCTTGCTGCCCCACTCTGCCTCTGCTAAACTAGCTATCTTATGAAGCCCAGATCTCCCCACCTAGGGATGGATGGTACAATCATGGTCAGCTGGCATCTCCTGAATCAATTACCAATAAACAGTTTTTCTCAGACTTGGCCACAGGCCAGTCAAGTCTGGGTACTTCCTCAGCTGAGAGTCCTTTACCTGATTCTCAGCTGTGCCAGGTTGATAGCTGAAACTAGCTAGGACATATGATGAAGAAGATTTCCTGTCTCATGTTTTAAAGAAGATGCCTAATAGATAATGTGGTTGTTCAGGAGTCAGGCAATCAAACTAGTCTCACAGCTTCAATTCCATCCTTTCTCTGTGACCCCATTGCTGTCATCTATCTTAATGACATTCTAGGTGGAGATAAATGACAACCAGAACAAAAAGGGAGTAGATAGAGTATTTGTGTTTATGAACTGTTGGCAAATATTTCATATTCATGTTTAGATTATTTTTCTTTCTTTCCTCCCCCCCTTTTTTTGTGCTGGGGATCCAACCCAGGGTTCCATAATTCTAGGCAATCTCTCTGCCACTGAGCCATACTCCATTGCTTGTCCCTTTTAAGAATGAGAAAAATTTGGGCGGGGTATTATGACTTATACACATTTATGTCTGTATATCTCAAGTTGAACTCCACTTCCTTAAAGATTACTATACTCATGTCTTAGGTAGGTATTCTATCTGGAATCATGATGAATAAGTTTTTATTTTTCAGACATTTTGTTGAAGTCATTTTCCAAATTGAAAATAATCCTATTCAAAATTTATTTCTTAAACTGCCATCCAAGGTCTGCCATAATTTAGCAACCTACTATCTAAGAGCACTCTCATTTACTGACAAAGAAACATGTTTTCATTTTCTTGTAGCTGTCACATTTGTGGATAGCCTCCCTCCATAACAGCCTTTCCTGTTCTCCCCTTCACCTGTGTTACATAGCCAGAAGACAGGGCAATAAGAGGATACAGTCTTTGAGCTCAGACGTTCTGTTCAGAGAATTTCCTGGAACCAGCCATCTCAGGAACAAGTCCCATTTCGCTGGCAGGGTCAAAACTGAGTTAATGTTCCCAGGCCCGGAACTCAACTCCTAGTCTGCCTCCTTCAGGTGTTTCCTGTTTGTCTGTTAACCAGTAAAGGATGTAAAGAGGAGAATCGCTGTTATCCTGTTATCTAAATAAGTCACACAAGTCATAAGTGTGTTGCCTGACTTAATTTACTACGTGCAGCTTGTCCACGCCTTCATTCCTTTGTGGTTCTAAATTCTGGGTCTCATCATTCAATTGAGCATGTGCAACAGCCCACCCGGCTCCCCCTTGCTTTGTGTTCCTATCCTTTATAAATGTACACTCTCCCTTCCAGAACGCAGTTAAGATCCCTAACTGGCCACCTCCCTGTCCTGGCAGAAAATAAAGCTTCCATTTTAAGCTTCCGTCTCTGAAGGGAGTTTCTCGGCTTCCACCCCAAACCCAACAATTAAGTACTGTGATAAATACTCCCAAAATGGCAGCTACTGTTTGAACCAAGAATTAATATTTATTGAGCACATATTTTGTGCTGGGACGGTTTAATATATATATATATATAAAATATATTAAATATATATTTATTATGTAATATAATTATATATTAAATATATACTTATATATATTTAATATATATATTTTAAGTACAGTTATTGCTTTTTTAAAAAATGGTTTTTCGAGACAGGGTTTCTCTGTGTATCCTTGGCTGTCCTGAACTCACTTTGTAGACCAGGCTGGCCTCGAACTCAGAGATCTGCCTGTCTCTGCCTCCCTGAGTGCTGGGATTAAAGGCATGTGCCACCATGCCTGACTTGTTATTGCTATCTTTATTTTATCGAGGAAGGAAATATAGACATAGAAAAGATAAGCTGCCCCAAATCACAGAGCCAAGAACTTCTAGTTTTTCCAGGCCGGAGGTTTAGTGCTCAGAGCACAGATGTCATAGCACCAGGCTTCCTTTGTAAAGAGTGCCTCTGTGGCCCATTTGCTCTCCTGAACAGCCGCAGCACTGGTCCTGCCTTACTGTCTGCCCTCTGCTTTGGAGGGGGAAAACGGTCTCAGCTCTCCCTTCTGGAGACTAAACTTCCTGTCTGATCCACGGCAGAAATGTAATCTCACATTAGGCAAAACACACCTTGTTTTGCTGCCTTGGGAATCATTCTCTCCGGGGCACAGTCCAGGACACCAGCAGCATCTTAGAAAACATCTAGCGTCTAGGAAAAGGGCAAGGTGGAGGGGAAAGACAGGCCAGGTCTTTCTGGGGCAGAGCGTGGCTGGGCTGGGGATAGCCCTCTGCCTCATCGGTAACCACAACAAGTTTCTCTATGTGGACAAAGCGGCTACGAAGGTAGAGCCTGTGCCGGCTGCGTACCTCACAAGCGACAACGCAAAGGGCGTTGCTTTTGCCTCTATGGGCTGAGAAACTCGAGTTGCTCCTGCAACTGCGGCGAGGCCTTCATGTATAAGCGGGCCCTGCGCTTGCGCAGTTGGGCGCCCCCCTCCGCGCCTGCGCTGCATGCAACAGTTTCGGATTGCTGCGCCTGCGCAAAGCTTCCCGCGGTTTTTCAGAGGCAGGAAGTGCCACGCGGCCGTCGAGGCGAGTCGAACTTGAGGGCTCCGCTTGTAAATGGTGTGGTAGGGGAATTGTAGAAGGGAAATACCGTTTGTTGACCCAAAATGGCCTGGTGACTGGGTGTGTCAGGCGTGAGGGCGGGGGTTGGAGGGGGACATGAATTCTGACTGGAAAATGTCTCCAGTCCTTCGAGGAGAACCCCGAACAGGCCCTGTCCGGCTTCAGGCGGCCGTGGTCTTAGAGTGGGGCTGTCAGTGAGTTGCTTTCCACCCCTCCCCGAGCCCCACCCTCCCATCCCCTTTACCCAACCCTCACCCCAGTTGAAACCGGAAGCTGGAGTCAGGACAACAGAATCTAGTGTTCGAGGAAGATGATGGTTGTATTTCCGTGTAGTTGTTTGAGTCAGGCATTCCCAGCACTTGGGTGGTGGAGGTGGGAAGATCAGTAGTTTGAGGCAAGTCTGGGTTCTATGAGACTGTCTCACATGCCATGGTTTTAGGATGTTTAAGCTATTCAGACAAAATGGCCCCATCTCTGTTTTGATAGAGTGCTAGAAAAATATTTAAGAATTTTCTGTATTCTGCTTTCAAGTTCAGCACACACAAAGAGGCAGTCCTGGGCCTCTTGTTTTTGAATTTTGCTTTTGCAAATGATATTTGGACATTAATGCGTACCTGTTTGATTTGCATTGTTAGTTGTATTCACATCAGTCTTGTCTCATTGGGCAGTGAATTTGCAGTAGAAATTATTTGGGTTTGTGTCTGGCCTTTTCATGGACAAGCAGTTGTTGAGTTAAATAAATTAAATTAAGATATACATATACGAGGAAGCTAACATCAGAAAAAAAAAAAAAAACAATGGAAAAATGTTTCTGTAAGTTTGCCAGTACTGTAGTCCCTTTCCCTTATAGCTTTGGTTCAAAATTCCTGTGATGGTTTCTGAATTCTGAAATAAATTAGACTGTGTGAAAAATCTTGTTTTCTAAACAATATTATATCTACCCTTGTCATAGCGTATTTTAACATATCTGAGAAAATGGGCTATATTTTAAATTCTTACTCATAAAGCAGTTCTTCAGGTGATCAAATTTGAAAGTTTTAAACCATAATGCTCATAATTAATAGGCTGAAAAGTTGATGTTGTTGATGAATGAGTTACAAGTTTCTTCCTTTGAAGGTTTAGTCAGCTTCATTTTGGAAATGTCAAGTGCTAAATAAGAAAAAACAAAAAAAGCTTTGACACTGAAGAAAATGAAGAGAAACCAAAATGAAAATTCAGCTCGAAGTACAGCAGGTATTGAACAACTTTTAATTTGTTTGCTGTTTTTCACATGCCACATAAAACATGTAAAGTTTATAGGAACATTTTGGAAAGAATGTTTAAAGATATTAAACACTTAGTCTAGCCTCTTTTTATAGCCAAAATTTGGTCAAGGCAAAGTATCTAGCAGTAGAGATGACAGTAAAACTAAATTTACTGAGATTTACTCTGGTTCCTTTCTTTCAAAAGTTAAGGGATTGATTTATTTATGGTTATAAACAGGAAACAAAGAAATGCATTTTTGGGTTTTTGTGATTGATTTGTTCAAAATGTTTTTAAAAGCATTTTTCTTTTCTTTTTCTTTTTTCTTTTTTGAGACAGGTTTTTCTGTGTAGCCTTGGCTATTCTGGAACTAGCTCTGTAAACTAGGTTAGCTTTGATTTGAACACACAGAGATCTACCTACCTCTGCCTCCAAAGCGCTAGGATTAAAGGTATGTGCCACCAGAGCCTGGCTGTTTTCTAATATTTTGTATTGTTTTTATTTTCCCAATTGTTGGGTAACCTAAGAATAGAAGTCAAGAATGACAAGAGCCAGGGAAATGATTATGATGTACAATAAAGATTATTATAATAATTTATGGTGGAATACCATATTCTAGACATTTAGTCAAAAGTATTATTTAATCGTTATCATCACATCTGTTTTCTAGATAAGACACCAAGGCACAAAGACCTTAAACAAATAATCTGTTGAGTGGTAGAAACAGGACTTGAACTCTGGTTTTAGAGTTTATTCTCTCTCCCTTTTCTGAAACAGGGTCCTGGACTCACTTTGTAGACCAGGCTGGCCTTGAATTCACAGAGATGTGCCTGCCTCTGCCTTTGCCTTCCTGAGTGCTGGGATCACAGGCATGTGCCACTGCTGCCCAGCGTAGAGTCCATACTCTTAATGTTATACTTCTCTGTATATATCATTGTCACAAAAAATTTAAGGAAACTGTTCACATTTAACTTTGAAGTTATATTTCAAATCCTCTTTGAAGGCATAGTTAAAACCTTGGCATCCTGATTCTAGTTTTTCATTAGAGATATTCCAGAGTTAGTATTCTCTTGTAGGAAAGTGAGAATGGGTCAGCTAGACAATGGTAGAGTGTCAAGAGTTTCTGAACTGAGATTTAGGAACTTGGGTTTTATCTAGGTGTTTTTTTTTTTTTTTTTTTTTTTTTCAATTCTTGCTTTGAAGACCTCTTGACCCTGAATTCTCTTCTTTTGACTGGAGAACCTGCTTTTGCGATCTGGAAGAAGTGGTAGTAATATTTACTTGGATTGAGTATAGTTATTCTCTTAAGAAAGTGCTTGTCAACCTGTGGGTCAAGAACCCTTTAGGGGTTGCATATCAGGCATCCTGAAAGTCATGTATTTATATTGCAATTCATAACAGTAGCAAAATTATAGTTATGAAGAGCAATGGAATAATTATATGGTTGGGATCACCACAGCCTGAACCGTATTAAAGGATCACAGCATTAGAAAGGTGGAGAACCATGGTTGGAAGACATTACCAAAATGATCCATAGAAAAATATCATTATAGATACCTGGGGTACTTGTTAAAATTATAATTTTAGGTTCCAGACTTGAGATAAAAATTTCAACATTGGGGATTGTGACCTTGGAACTTACATATTAATCAGAATGAGTCAAAATAAAGTTTGATAACTATGGCTTGAGAGGTTGTGGTCACACTCTAAAGCATGGTTAAAGTTTTAGAAAGCATTGTTCAGAGTTTTTTCCTTCTTAGCTTTGATATATACTATAAGTACTCTGTAGCTGATAAGGAAATAGACAAGCAGAAAAGGGAAATAAGGAAAAGAAAAGACAGGTTTGGGAAAAGTTTGGAGATTTAAAACGACAGGAATTGCTTAGAAATAAGAATTAAAGTAATAAGACAGAATAAGAAAGGACCTTAGAGATACTGGTGAGCTATTTAGGACTTCTAAAGATCATAAAAATCATTTCAAGGGCATAGAAATACATCTTTAGTGTATTAGCATATAGAAGTAGACCTTAAATTTTCCATCATTACAAATTATTAATGGAAATGATTCTAGAAGTAGACATGCTCATTTACTTATTTCGTTCTAATTTATTGGTACATTCTATATAGGCTGTTTGCCTGTGCCATTGTTCAATCAGAAAAAGAGGAACAGACAGCCTTTAACTTCTAATCCACTTCAGAATGATCCAGGTATCAGTACTGTTTCTGACAGTTACAGTTCCTCTTCTCTACCAACAGGTAAGAAAACGAGGAAAGTAAACTTTCAAGGGAAAAAGACTAGGGTTGTAGAAAATTACTGGGTCTCTCATTGCAGAAAGTTCCTGCTACTTTTCACTGCCCAGATATAGAGTTTACTTGGCTCCTTCTGAGCATTCCAGCACAGGAGTTTTGAGTTGCCTTGTCTACGAGGGTGGCTTAGCATTTAAATGGAGTATCTTTATGTCTGGAGCCTTTGTTTTACTAAAGTAGGAACCTACATTGCAAAGACTATTTTTTTTTCTCAAAACATAGATTACTGTGCTTTATATACTCAATAGGAAAGGATGGAAGGGCTTGAGTTACTTCAGAAACAGGGAAAAGTGTGTATAGAGTATAAGAAAGAAAATGGGAAAAATAGACTGTAGAAAGGCATACGCCCAGGAATTTCTGGTGCTTGGTTCTAGTCATACTTTCGGAAGGCATTTTTGCCTGTCTTTGTCTGTTGTCTCCCTTACTCTTTTCTGGGATCTGAAAATTCTTAAGTTGAAACTTAACCACTGAGTAGGAGATGGGCCTTTTGGAGGTGCTTAGAGTTGAGGACTCTACCCCTACAACAGGATGAAGGAGAAGTACTGTTTGCTGCTTCTGTCATGTGAGGACACGAAGAGGGATTATCTCTGAAGTGAGAACAAGCTTTCACCAAATGTCTAGTTTGTTGTCACCTCGATCTAAGATGTTTTAGTCTTTAGCACTGTCAAAAATTCTTCTTTGTAAATTACCCAATTTAAGATATTTGGTGGTCTTAAGATATTCTCCTCTAAAACAAGTATCAGGACAGGAGCCTACCACAGAGGGCCTCTGAAAGACTCTACCTAGCATTGTATCAAAGCAGATACTGAGACTCATAACCAAACCTTTGGCAGAGTGCAGGGAGTCTTATGAAAGAAGGGGGAGTTAATATGACCCAGAGAGGATAAGAGCTCCACAAGGACCGAATATATCTGGGCACAGGGGTCTTATATGAGACTGTTTTCCCCCACAAAGGACCATGTATGGTTATAACCTAGAACCTCTGCTCGGATGTAGCCCATGGTAGCTCAGTATCCAATTGTGTGTCCCTAGTAAGGGGAAAAGGGACTATTTCTGACATGAATTCAATGGCGGGCTCTTTGACCTCCCCAACCACCAAGGGAGGAGCAGCCCTGCTAGGCCACAGAGGAGGACTTTGCAGCAAGTCCTGAAGATACCTGATAAACCAGGGTCAGAGGAAAGAGGAGGAGATCCTTCCCTGTCAGTGGACTTGGAAAGGGGCAGGGAGAAGATGAGGGAGGGAGGGTGGGATTGGAAGGGAGCAGGATACGGCTGGGATACAGAGTTAATAAAATGTAACTAATAATAAAAATTAAAAAAAAAAGATACTCTCCTCTAGTATGCTTCCTTATAGCTTCAACCAGCACATTATATAAGTTGTCATTGCTGGGAGTTTATTACATATTCTAACTCTGCTTTTCAGAGATTGACTGCCTTCTGTAACTCTTGATTAAGTTTTAGAGTCAGGAAGCTTCTAATACGTGTTACCTTTTAAGTAAGACCTCTAGTGAGTGTTGGAAGATCTTAAATATTTGTTGACTTTATTTTTTCACTGTATAATCTAGATCCATCTATCCATCCATCCATCCATCTATCTATTGTTGTGCCCAATTTGAGAGACCCCAAAAGACCACTAGGAGTTGAGTCTGTTGCACATCACATGAGGATCTTTATTCAAGCTTGAATAAAGATTAATTAAGCTCAGGCCACCAGTCTTCCCTGATGTAGCAGGTTAGAAAGTGAGGCCTGGAGTCTCAGGGGGTCAGAATTTTTAAAGGGAAAAACTGCAAGCAGGAAATTCCAAGCCTTGGTGTTACAAGGAAGGGTAAGATTGGGTATGGGGGGGAAGTTCAGCAAGTGAAGTGACCTTCAGGCCAATTGTTCCAAGCCTTCCAAATGGCAAGATATCTAAGATAGTTTTATGATAGCCTGCTGGGTGGAGGACCCATCAACACATTCTATGGCATTTAACACATTCTGTGGTATTTATGACAACCTATGGAGTGGAGGCCTGATTGTAGTTATCTATTAACACATTCTATGGTATCCACAACAACCTGCGGGGGTGGAGAGCCAGGTGGCCCTTCTCAGAACCTGAAGGTGGGGGCCAAGTCACTCCAAGGACGGTCAACGTAAGATAGAGTCTGAGAAACAAAATGGAGCCACCCCTGCCATCCTCAGTTCCTTCACTATCTGTGTGTGTATGTGTGTTCTAGAGATGAGACTCAGGTCATTAGGCTTGATGTCAAGGCTTCCCACTATGCCATCTTGCTCACTGGCTCAATGTTCACTGACTTTTTACTTCCCTCTGGGAGAAAACACTAATAGGCAGACATTCTGAAGTATATTTGGTATATTCTTGGTATCTATATTTAAATTTTGGAAACAAATTTCAAAATTATTGGAATTATATGAATAAAATATTAAAATACTTTTATGTATAGCAATACTCAATTCAAAAATTTTCAGTGTGCTTTGATGCAGTCATTGTTTTTCTTCCACAATAGGAATTTAAAGTATAGCGTTAACATATAACATTCCTATTTTTAAAATTTGTATTTTATTATTAGTATGTGTGTATGAGTGTACACATGTATGATGGTGTGTGTGTGTGTGTGTGTGTGTGTAGGTGTGTAGGTCAGTGGACACATTTTTTGAGTCATCTTTCACTGTGAATTCTGGTATGAATCATAGCATATGAGGTTTACATGGCTAGTGCCTTTTTCCACAGAGCCATCTGTGGCCCTCATTTCCATTTTATGTATAAATGGTAGAAATTCACATGGATGTGTCAGCGTTTATCTGATCATTCGCCACCATTAAAACTTTCCTCACCATTTAAAATGTTTTAAAAGTAGCATGAATACGGATCTTGAAAAATTACAAGTGTGAGTTATTCAGTGAGGAAATAAGAATTTTTATCTTGATCTGTTAGTCTTTAATATGATCAACACAAGAAGAGAGTATGGGGATAGAGAGATGGCTGAGTGGTTAAGGAGGGCTTACTGGTCTTTCAGAGGACCTGAGTTTGGTCCCAACACCCATGTTAGGTGTCTGACAACTACTTTATTATTCCATCTCCAGTGGATCCTTGGCATGGCATCTATGAACACTTCCACTCATGCACATATTTAAACATAAAATGGAAATCTTTAAAATATAAGAGAGTAACTAGAACAGAATTAAAAATGTCAGTGTATAGCATACATAGTAAGGATTAGATTTGATGTTAAAATGTTATCTTACTCTCTGATTCTGTGTCTTCATTATTTTCATATACTAGCTGTGTAGTTGCCCCGTTATGATGCATTTCTTGATGTGGGGTGGAATAAGGTTTAGGAAACACCAGATTAAACTAAATTTATGTTGTCAATTACAAAGCACCACTATATTAGGATCGGTTGTGGAAAAGGATTAAACTATCATCTTTGCTTAAATACAGCAAGAAAGAACGACATCAAAAAAAATTAAGCAGGCTACGATAAATCCTACAACCAAGTACTACTAAAGATAGTCACTATATCTTCAACTTGTTAGCGCTCCCAAATTAAATAAATGTAAAGAATTATTTTGAAAAAAATTTCATTTTTATCTGTGTTCTTATACTTTTGAGGTTGGGAGTGGGAAGCTGTGAATCCAGAGGTGACACCTTTAAAGAAAACAATGAATACAGGGTATGTGGAAAAATATGAACCAATAAATGTGTGTCTGTTACCAACTAATGTTACTTTCTGTATATATCTTACATTTCTCAATTTGAAAACTGTGTTTAACAAGATTTTTTTTTTTGAAAGGCAAATACCAGCTTCTGCTTCTTATCCCCCGAGAAGTCAAGATTATGCATCTAAATCTATTCAGTCAAATGTTGAAAGAAGCCAAAGTGGTTGGGGGTGAGTCTGCACATGTTTTCTTTCCTTTTAAAAAATCTTTTTCCTTTCTTAGAAATACATTTAGAAATTTCTACATTAATAACAAACTGATATTTGAATATAATCTATGTATGCCTTCCGGTCTACTTTAAATTACACAATGTAAAATAATGTAAATGTTACACAGTTGTCATTAAGAAATGACAAACTAAAAAAAAGAAATGACAAAGTTTATGTTGGATATAGATGTAATTTTCTTCCAGATATTTTTGATTTGTTTAAGTAGAATTTGTGGGTATATATGGAAGGCTTAAACTGAGTTAAAAATAATAGGTTTTCATACAGATCTCTTTCTTTTTTTTGTTATGATCCTTATCTTCCCCCTATCGCTATCCTCATTCTTACATAAATCCTTCCATTTCCAGTATTTCCATCTCTACTTTCATATCATGGATGTTCTGATTTACTCCCCTTAAGGTAACTTCTTCAACATCCCCTTTCTAGCTTCTTGGCCTCTACAGGTACTTTTAAATATACACATCAAAAAATTTGAAGCTAGGATCCACATATACGAGAACATGGCATTTGTCTTTATGAGCCTGGATTTCCTCACTTAGTATAGTAATTTCTAGTTCCATCAATTTACTGGAAAATTTCACAATTTTATTATATTTTTTACAACTGAATAAAATTCCATTTTATTTATTAATCAGATTTTTATTATTTATTCACTGCTAATGGAAATCTAGGCTGATTTCCTTTCCTAGCTATTGTAGTTAGATGAAGAAGAATCTTTGTAGTAGGATATAGAATCCTTTGAGTATATGCCCCACAGTGGTATTGCTTGGTCGTATGGTAGTTCTATTACTAGATTTGACATATAACCTTTATTTCCTACTCCAACTCTGTCCTTTCAACATGTTCCCTTTAACTTTTTTTTTTCCTTCTTGAGACAGGGTATCTGTGTAGTCTTGGCTGTCCTGGAGCTTACTATATAAACTAGGATGACCTGAACTCACAGAGATTCTCCTGCCTCTTCCTTCTTAGTGCTGGGATTAAAGCCACTCTCCTTTTAAGTAATCCATTGAGTTCAGTTGGTGTTGTCTGTGGTGTGTGGCTACTCTAAAGCATGGGAATCTTGTCAGTGGCCTCATCAAAATGGAACAACTCTCCTCCAGAAACTGTCAGCTGCCAATAGTTCCTCAATGCGGGGTGAGGACAGAGCTTATCTACTGCATCTGTGATGAAGGTTTGGCTGGTTTCATCTTGTGTGGATAACCCAGCTCCTGTGAATTCATGAGTGCAATTGCTGTACCGTGTCCAGAAGGCATTTCATAGCACTCCTGCCTTCCACTAGTTCTTACATTTCTATTGTGAGAAGCTTCCACATTTAATTTTCATAATGCAGGTACCAGTTTGCACTCTTACCAGCAGTGAATAAGAGCTCCTTTCTCCCATGTCCTTGTCAGCATTTGTTTCTGTGGTGACACAGAATCTCAAAGTAGGTTTAATTTGCATGTCCCTGGTGGCTAATGAACACTTTAAAAAATGTCCATTAACCATTTCTCTTTTCTTTCAGAGCTCTCTGTTCAAATCTACAGCTTGCTTTTTATTTTCATTTATTTATTTATTTTTTTAAATTGGGTTGCCTCTTGTTTATGTTTTGAGTTCTTTGTGTATTCTAGATATTAATCCTCTGCAGAAATATATCTGGCAAATATTTTCTCCCATAATGAAGATTGTCTCTTCAGTTGATTGAACATGCTCTTTGCTATATAGAATCTTTTTAAATAAAATATTTATTTATTTATTATGTATACAGTGTTCTGCCTGGATGTACACCTGCATGCCAGAGGAGGACACCAGATCTCACTATAGAAGGTTGTGGGCCACGATGTGGGTGCTGGGAATTGAACTCAAGACCTCTGGAAGAGCAGCCAGTGCACTTAACCACTAAGCCATTTCTCCAGCCCTATGCTTTTTAATTTCATGAGATCCCATTTCTCAATTGTTGCCCCTGTTTCCTGTGCAATTAGAGCTCTATTTGGAAAGTCTTTACCTGTGTCTTTATCTTAGAGTTGGTCTTACTTTTTTTTCTAATACTTTCAGGTTTTATTTTGGGATCATTGATCCATTTGAAGTTGTTGTTTCCCGCCACCCCCAACCCTGCCCCCTGTTTGAGAGAAAAATACCTATTTCTTCTGTGGTAGATAAGTGCATAAAAATCTAATTGATAGTGAAAGTATACCAATTCAAGAGAAAAGCTCCAAGGCTGCAGAGTGTCAGAGTGATTCTTCTGACTAAATAAAGGTTCACTGAGATGTATAGACTTTGGGTCAAGCAAGTACTTACTTGAGTAGCTGCAATAATATAGATGTTTTGTTTGTTTGTTTGTTTTTGCGAGTTCTTTAATTAGGTGCTTAATTGTTCTGTGTTTATTCTTACTCAGAAATATAGAAAAAAAGATCATGTTTTTAGGAAGCCATCAGGGTTAATTCTGTTTTTCTTTATTTTCTGGAAATATGAGTAATATGGCATGTTTTGTAGTGATTGTCAATGTTTTTTGTTTTTTGTTTTTTTTTTTTTTTTCCAATAAATAGCATGTGTGAGAAGTTACATACAGTAGCATGGAGAACTCAAGTTAGCGCCATCATGGAAAAGCTTACCCCAGCATGGGTGATAACTTCATAGAAGCTCATCTCTGAAGCTCCTTGCCAAGAGTCTCCTCTCTGCAACCTTTTCTTTCTGCTTATTTAACTGTGGGAGGGCATGGTGAATCTTGTGATTTTCTGAGTCTTGTGAATTTCATAAGCTGCCTAAATCTTTTGAGCCTCCTTCTTTCATCCAGGAAGGAGTATTTCAATTTAGAGGAAATAGCTGCACAGTAGAGGGTATATCACATACTTAATAAATAGCAATAATTCTACTATTTTTGGATATTAATGATGTTTATGGTATTTGTAACTTAAAGATTCATGATTTTTTTTCATCCTTTTTTATAGTTAAGATGTTAACAGTATTTCTCAAACTACATAAGCCTTAGGCTTCATAAAACCTAGGCCTTTTGCTGGTTCCCTCCCCGCTTTTATTTATTTATTTACTTTTAAGCAAAGGGTGGGTAATGTGATTGCCTTGTAACACTTGCAGTATTTCTGGGAAAATTATTCATAATTCAGAATTTGTGAATTGAACTAATTTTTTCTTTCCATATATCTCTTAACTGACCTGCTTAGAAAATATACTTTTGTATGGGTCTTATTAACATCCTGCACTGACCAGCTTTTACAAGTCATTTAGTTTAATGTGTAAATGCTGTAACAGGTTATTTAGTAGGGGTTTTCAAAGCACAGAATATTAAATAACCTTACAGGCAAGCCATAGCTTTTTACTTTTTACTTTGTAGAAAATGTCAAAATAAATATATAGAATTAAGCAAAAGCCCTTAAAATATTTCTACTTGAAAACTGTTATATATAGGCTTGAATTACAAACACAGATTTATAGCACTGTATTCTCAATAGGGAGACTGGTGTTCTCCAAGTTTTGGACTTGCCAATGACTTACTGTATAACTTTGTATGAGTTACTATTTCCCTAAGGCTCTGTCTCATCATCTAGAAAGCGAAGTAGTATTATACCGTACTATCCTGTAATGAATGATGTGTTTGAAATTTCATACTACTTACTAGCTGTAAACCACAAATTGTCATAACAATGAAAAATTTTATCAGTTGTTCCTAAATAAAAAGACACAGAGAAGTATGTTTAATTTTCACAGCTACAAAGGTGACAACAGAAATGCCAGCTTGAGAACTTGGGATAAAAATGATTTCAAACCCCAGCGTAAAACAGCAAGCCCAGCAGCAAGCAGTGAATTCAGTTCTTGTCCAGTGAATTTGGGAGCACAGCGACAAAGGCAGTTAGGAACACTTGAATTTCCTAACTTACCTGAACACAAAGAAAATGAAGTACTCAGACAGACATGTTCATCAAAACTTCCTGACTCTGCAGTGAAAGGCCCAGACAGAGCCAGTGCACTGCAGGCATTTAAACCGAGTTTTCAACAAAGTCCATTTAAGAAAACAGTGTTGGGTGACATTCCAGGAGAAAAGACTCCGAAGGTAAACATTTAAATATTAATAATAACTTATTTACATGTTTAAACATGTGGTAAATATTTAGAAAGGTACATACATGGTATGTGTAGATTAGCATGAATACCCAGTTTCCTGTTAGAGTAGATGTGTGTTAGTTTCTGAAATGTCTTAGCTATATGTTTTTTAATAGTGGCTTTTAAAAATATTTTTAAGTGGATTCTGGTCTTTACTTTTAATTATTAAGGTAACAGTAGTTTATCCATTACTTGTGGAAATAATCCATACTTTTCCCCATTATTTATTTATTCCCTTTACAGCCTGATCTCAGCTCCCTCCCTCTTCTCCCATTCTCACCCTCAGCACCCTTCCCCCACTTACTCCACTCCTCCCTCCCCCTCTCAGAGAAAGGGAGGCCCCAGCCAGATGAAAGGCATCCTCTCCCACTGAGGACAGAGAAAGGGATCCAAAGGCAGGCAACAGTCAGAGACAAGCCTTACTCTCATTGTTAGGGGTCCCACATGAAGAACAAGCTGCACATCCACTACATATGTGTGGGGTTTCTAAGTCTAGCCTGTGCATGCTCTTTGGTTAGTTTCTGTGAGCCCCCATGGGCCTGGGTTAGTTAACTTTGTAGGTCTCCTCAATCCTTCCCCCTACTCTTCCACAAGACTTCCTGAGTTCTGCTATTGTTTGGCTGTGGTTTCTGCATCTGTTTTCATCAGTTGCTGCATGAAGCTTCTCAGAGGACAGTTATGCTAGGCTCCTGTCTGCAAGCATAGCAGAGTATCAATTCATTAATAGTGTGAGAGGCTGACTCTTTCCCATGAGGTAGTTCTCAAGTTGGGCCAGTCATTGGTTTGCCATTCCCTCAATTTCTGCTCCATCTTTATCCCTATGTTTCTTGTAGGCAAGACAGATTTTGGGTCAAAGGTTTTATGTGTGGGTTGTGTCCCCTTCCCTCCACTGGAAGTCCTGCCTGGTTACAGGAGATAATGACTTCAGCCTCCATATCTCCTACTGCTAGGAGTCTCAGCTAGGGTCACCTCCATAGATTCCCAGGAGCCTCCATTGTCCCAGAGATGGCCCCTACCAATTTCTGTTCTCCCTTGACCCCTGGTCCCACCAACTCCCATCCCCAGCTCTCTTCAACTCTGATCCCCCCCCATTACCTTCTCCAACCCAACCCGTTTCCCACCCAGTTTTTTCCCTCCATCTACTTCAGATGTCTGTATAATTCCCCTTCTCAGATTCAGGTATCTCCCTTGAGCCCTCTCTGTTACTTAGCTTCTTTGAGTATGTGGACAGTCCATACTTTGTATTATGTAATTTTCCCCAAAAGATACCAGAAACATTTTCATGCAAAGTGCCAGATAACATTTTTGGCCTTATGGACTATACTGTCTTTGTTGTAGTTATTTTACTGAACTCTGATGACTGAACTCTGCTATTATAACTTGGAAGCAGCCACAGACAACACATTAATTAATGAGCGTGGCTGTGGTCCAGTGAATGTTGACAGAAACAGTGGGTTAGATTTGGAGTGTAGGTCATTATTTATTGAATTCTGCTTTATAATCTGGTCCTGTTCTGCCTTTTTTGCCTTCTATACCATTTTGCAAAGTGCTGTTCATCCAGGACCCCTCACATGGGATGGATATGGTGTATGCTTGTACATTTTTCTAGAGAACAGGTGCCTTTTTCTCAGCTGCACTTATAATTGGTCTTTAAAATGTTTTCAACACATGTGCAGGCTATTTTCTCTCTCATTTCTCACACGGGGACCCAATGGGTTGTTCTGTGAATCTCTGTGTCCTGGCAAGCTGCATTGCCCTACCTAGTGCCTCATCCGGGGATCCCTGCTTTGCTGGCTCCTCTAGAGGTTAGCCAGTGGGAGTCACTGGGAGGGTGTTGATGGGAGCAAAGGTGGAGATTTTCTTCTTTCCATGTCTGTGCCCCTTTGTGAGCCTAGATTTCATAGTCTTGGCAGTTTTATTTTATCTTTCCTGCTGTCCTCTCAGCTTCTAACTGCTGTTAGTGTTTGGGTGCTTAAGAATTCTGAATTTGTTCTGATAATAACCTGAACATTACTGTTTTTAGCAAGCAATTAGGGTAAATTCTGTTTACTTTATTTTCTGAAAATATGACTGATATAGCATGTTTTTTATAGAGATTCTTGATGTTATGTTACTTTGTTGTCACCTTAGTAACAGTGGCTCGCTGTGGCAGTCATCTTCAAATCTTGTGTAGGAGGGACAAGAAGGGGAAATTTTAAAGTTTCATCAGGTGCTCATCACAACCCTCACCCCCCAAAATGAAATTGTGTCCCAACCCTTGAAAGTTAGTATTTTTGTTTGTGTGTTTGTTTGAAGACAGTGTCTTCATATGTTGCCCTGAACTTACTATGTAGATCAGGCTGGCCTCAAGTTCATAGAGATCCACCTGCTCTGGCTTCCAAGTGCTGGGATTAAAGGTTGTATCTTCAGATTCTTAAAAAACCAACCAACCAACCAACCAACCATAAAGTATGGGGCTGGAGAGATGGCTTGGTGGTTAAGAGCACGACAACACTCCTGAAGGACTTGGTGCTCTTCCCAGGACACACATGACAGCTCACAACCTTCTGAAACTCCAGTTCCAGGGGATCTGACCCCCTTTTCTGTGGGCACCAGGCACACACATGTGTAAACATACAGATATACATACAAAACACTTATGCAACTAAGCACAAAAATGCAAAGTACATTTCTGTTTCAGGACTTTTACATGTGCTATTCTCTGTTCCCACTTAACTACCCACTTAAAATTATAAATTCCATCTGTCTTTATCCTTTCATTGTTATTTTTCATGCATAGATGATAACAATTCCTGATGTTGTATTATACAGTATTTATTCACTTGTTTATTTGATGAATCCTATTTTACATTAGAAATTATGTGAGGGTAGATGTAATATTATTATTATTTTTTGAGACAGGGTCTCATTATGCAGCTCTCACTAGGCTGTCCTGGAACCTGCTGTGTAGAGTAGGCTGTCCTTGAACTCACAGAGATCCAACTACTCTGCCACCATGCCTGACTTGTTTGTTCACTTCTGTTTCTTTAGTAGTTTTGGCATAGAGTGGATGCCCCAAAAGCACTTAAATTTATTAGTGTATATTAATAATGCAAAATAGTATATGTGATGCTTTGATTATATTTGCATCACCTATTATTCACACCTAATCTCCCCTCTCCTCCTTTTGCTCTCCCACTTTTACACTTATTTTCTTCAGTTTTTAGAAAATAACTTTTTTAAAAATGCCTGAATGAATGAATGTGTCTACAGTATGAGCTCATTAGTGACTATTTCACTTACCTGTTTATAAAGGGACTGGCATGTAATGATTATTCAGTGAGGGAGAAAATTAATTGAGGAAATGAATAATATAAGCAATTCTTTTAAATCTTTGCTTATTATTGTATGTATGAAGTTTGTAGGGGGCATATGTGTTGTCAAAAGAGTCGGTTTTCTCTTTTCACCTTTTTATGGGTTCTGGGGATCAAACTCAGCTCATTATGCTTATATGGCAAGTGCTTTCTTTACCCTCTGTGCCATCTCTCTCATCACATAATTCTCTTCTTATTTTAAGTAATTCTGGTTTTCACTCTGCAATGCAGTAAAATGTAATAGTGGCTTTAATTTTGGGGTTTAATTGCGTTGAAACTTTTAGTAGTTCTGTTTACATACTCTACACATTTACTTATTATAAGAACCTAGACACTGCACAGATCAGAGTATTTTGAGTAAAGTGCAACACTGTTCTAAAGCTATGCTCTTTTCCCCCAAAGGAAGACCCCTTGCATGCGTTGAAGGAAAAAGATAATTCTTTAAGAATTATTTCTGCAGTCATTGAAAGCATGAAATACTGGTGTGCACAAGTGCACAAAACTGTACTTCTTTTTGAAGTATTGGGTAGGTATAATATTTCAAGAACACTGCAGTATACTGTTTAGATATTTTAAATGCCATTACGAATACCTACGATACCATTAAGAGAATACAAATTGGAAAGGAGATTATGTATATTAGGGAAAATGTAGGCTGGCTTCAAAATAACTGATGTCCACTACCAGTACTCATGAGATGGTTACTAAATGAATAGATGACATCATTTGATAAAAATTTCTGGAGCTAAACATGAATTAGGACTTACAATTTACACATGACGAAACAGATTTGCTCAAGGGGAAGGAGATAGGGAGATGTGGATAAAAAATACAAACCTGCAGTTAGGTAGGATAAATCAGCCTAGAGATCTAATGTGTTTCAGATATCTATCTATCCATATATATATATATATCAATATATCCATACCTATATATAATTATTCCAAAAGGTGGCTTGTAGGTGCTTTTATTCTGCCTCAAAAGGGGAGAGCTATATTAGTTTGATTACCTGAAGTTATGAAAACATTTATTTTTTTGTTCTTTTTCTGTTTTTGTACATTTACATGAATATATTTCATCTTAGAAAATAAAATAAAGTAAAATCAAGTTTGAACTATGTCATAAAATAGTATTAAGCTGAAGACCTGACACTAGAATACTTATTAAGTATTGTTTTTATTAAATTATGATACTTATTTGTTGTTATAGTGCATTTTATTGTTAGTACAGCTTTGAAATGCATCCAGTCTGCAGAACACACTGAAATGATACAATTCCTTCATAAAAATACCATTGTATAAGTAGAAGTAGGAGAGCTGTTATGAGATGACATTTAAATACCAACTTTTCTTCCTTAAATTTTGTATTTATCAATGTTAATTTCCCTACTTCAATGTTGCTTAGCTGTCCTGGATTCAGCTGTCACACCTGGCCCACATTATTCAAAGACTTTTCTTATGAGAGATGGGAAAAATATTCTTCCATGTGTATTTTATGAAATTGTGAGTATTTTAACGTTTATTTTCAGTGTCTATGCTAACAAAACATTAAATTACAGGCTATAGTCCCATTGCAATAAAAATGCAGTTAGCAAAAAGAATACGTAATTCATGAGTCATTATGAGGGGATTATCAAATTTTTCAGGACGTAGCTTCTTGCTAGTTTGTTAGAAGCCTTATTGAGGTTAGAGTTGTTCCTCTGTGGCAGGTTACCTGTGTGTGCCTAGCTATCTTGTAAGCAACACAGAGAAAAATACCATTTGGGGTTATCCATGTTTAATTGGTCATATTATAAAATAAACATTAAACTTTAGATGAAGCAATAAATATTTTTTTACTTTTATGTTTTGAAAAACAGGATCGTGAACTTCCAAGACTGATTAGAGGCCGAGTTCACAGGTGTGTTGGACACTACAACCCAGACAAAAACATTTTCAAGTGTGTTTCTGTCAGACCAGCATCTACTTCAGAACAAAAGACTTTGCAGGCATTTGTTACAATTGCCGATGCTGAGATGAAGTATCACACCAGAGTAATGAATGAAATGTAAATAGTGACAAAGGCTGTTATGCAAGTTTCTTTTGTATAATTAGAAGCATTTACTCTTACTAATTTACCACTTGCAAGGTTTTTTTTTTTTTTTTTATTTTTCTTTTTAGTTACATTTTGTTAACTCCGTGTCCCAGCTGTATCCCGCTCCCTCATTCCCTCCCCAACCCCACACTCCCTCCCTGGTCTCCTCCCTGCCCCTTTCCAAGTCCCCTGATAGGGGAGGACCTCCTCCCCTTTCATCTGTCCCTGTTTTATCAGGTATCTTCAGGGCTGGCTGCAAAGTCCTCCTCTGTGGCCTAACTGCTCCTCCCCTGGGGGGAGGTGTCAAACAGCCTGCCCTTGAGATCCTGTTAGAAATAGTCCGTGTCCCCCTTACTTTGGAAAACTACTTGGTTACTGAGCTACCACAGGCCACATCCGAGCAGAAGTTCTAGGTTATATCCATAGATGGTCCTTGGTTGAGTTTCAGTCTCAGAAAAGACCCTGTGCCCAGATATATTTGGTCCTTGTAGAGCTCCTATCCTTTCCATATCAAACTAACTTCCCTTCTTTCATATGATTCCCTGCACTCTGCCGAGGGTTTGGTTATGAGTCTTAGTGTCTGCTTTGAAACACTGCTAGGTAGAGTCTTTCAGATGCCTTTTGTGGTAGACTCCTGTCATAAGTTCAAGGCACATCCCATTTGTCTTGCAAGGTTTTATCACTCTTGTTTTCCTGTATTTCACTAATTTAAAAAAATAAAGCATTTCTTACAGATTTGACCAAAATAGCTAGATTTTTTTTTTAATTTTGAAGTTTTATTGAACTGTGCTTTACATATCAGATAAATCTCCATTTAAATTGTGGAATTAAATTTTTAGTATGTTCACAAAATTATACAACCATTGCCATTATCTAGATACAAAAAATTTCATCACTGCCATAGAATACATACCCGTCAACAGTTACTCTCCATCTCTTCTCAGGTCTACTAGCTCCTACTAGCTATGATTTTTTTCTGTTCTGTGCATTTCAAAGTAGAGCTAGTTTTCATATATGCTAAATGATTTTTAAAATTTATTAAGAAGGCAAATTACTTGAAATAAAAATTTTGAGCTGATACTGAAAGTTGTCCAGAGAAATTTATATTGATATTGTATTTTTCTTTTTATCTACTTTTTTTTTGGTAGAAAGTTCCTTTTCCATGAACAAGTTTATTATTATATATTGAATAAGGTGTGTGCAAGGGAATCAAAATTGAGTAGGGTTGGTGGTGAAATTTACCAATAGTGGTTAGTTGATGGATCATGAAGTTTTCTCATATAGTAATATGTAGGGAAAGTCTTTGAAACAAGCTTTTGTGCTGTTCGCAGGATTTGCTTTATAAGTACCATGTCTTACCTGAATTGTTAATGTTCCGTCTCTCAGACCTTGTCTGTAAATCCACATTAGCGTCCCTCTATGCTTCATGTGAAAGGATCTCTAAAGCTGGTTCGCACTGCACACTTGATTTGCTGCTCACCAGTCTTTAGAACTGTGCTTGGCTGAGTGAGATAGGTGTTAAGAAACAGCATATGCCTTAAACAGAGACATGACCCCAGAGGGCGTGTGAGATAAGTGGAATGTGTCCTGTCCTGCTTGGGAGAGCCTGCCGTTGAGACCCTGCTGCCATCTATCCCAAGACATAAACGAAGTAAATACTGAGTAAATCCCTTTTGGATTTCTGACCTTTTGTATTTATTATTGACATATAAAATCTACTGAGTTCATTTAGTGTTGTTTTTAGAGCTGACCACTAGGAATTGGATAACCTAGCAGAGGTTTCATCCTAGGAGTGGCCTCTTCCTCATCCCTGTTGGCATGTCAGCTGGAGTGGTCATGATTCAGGTTTTGTGTAGGCAACCAGACTGTTGAACTTCCATGGGTGCACATCCCTTTCATTTCTATAAGACACTATTTCCTAGCAGAAGTGGCTCTCTGGCTCTTACAATCTTGCTCTTCCCTCCTGTGATCTTCCCTGAACCTAATGTATAGGGATTGTGTTGCAGATGTGGGTACGCAAGATTGAAAACTAATTTTACTATTTTTGCTAAAATGCTGCATTTGCTATAATTTATCAGACAGAAATAGATACTTAATCTACTTGATTTTAACCATAGGACTGAAAAACATCTATTGTAGGTGTAGGTTCTTCTCTAACATGGGATAAACATTTTTAAAAAATTATTTTTTAGATATATACCTAGGAGTGGTATAGCTGGATCTTGAGGTAGCACTCTTCCTAATTGTCTGAGAAAGTGCCAGATTGATTTCCAAAGTGGTTGTACAAGTTTACATTCCCACCAGCAAGGGAGAAGTGATCCCCTTTCTCCACATCCTCTCCAGCAGGTGTTGTTACTTGAGTTTTTGATCTTAGCCTTTCTGGTGGGTGTAAGGTGAAATCTCAGTGTTTTGATTTGAATTTCTCTGATGACTAAGGATGTTGAGCATTTCTTTAAGTGTTTCTCTGCCATTTGATATTCCTCTATTGAGAAGTCTCTGTTTAGCTCTGTATCCCATTTTTTTTTAAATTGGATTACTTAATTTGTTGCTTTTTAACTCTTGAGTTCTTTATATATTCTGGATATTAGCCCTCTGTCAGATACAGGGTTGTTGAAGATCCTTTTTCCAATCTGTAGGCTGTCGTTTTGTTCTTACAGTGTCCTTTGCTTTACAGAAGCTTTTCAGTTTCATGAGGTCTCATTTATTAGTTGTTGATCTTAGAGCCTGTGCTGTTGGTGTTCTGTTCAGGAAGTTGTCTCCTGTGCCAATGAGTTCAAGGCTCTTCCCCACTTTTTCTTCTAACAGGTTTAGTGTGTCTGGTTTTATGTTGAAGTCTTTGATCCATTTGGACTTTAGTTTTGTGCAGGGTGATAAGTATGGATCTATTTGCATTTTTCTACATGTAGATACCCAGTTAGATCAGCACCATTTGTTAAAGATGCTATCTTTTTTCCATTGTATGGTTTTGGCATCTTTGTCAAAAATCAGGTGTCCATAAGTGTGTGGGTTTATTTCTGGGTCTTCTATTAGATTCCATTGATCCACCAACCTGTTCCTATGCCAGTACCATGCAGTTTTTTTTAAGTTTTATTTTCTTATTAATTAATTAATTAGTTAATTAATTAATTTCTTAAATTTTATTTTTTCTTATCAATTACATTTTATTAACTCTGTATCCCAGCTGTATCCCGTTCCCTCATTCCTTCCCAATCCCACTCTCCCTCCCTCATCTCCACCCTGCCCCTTTTCAAGTCCACTGATGGGGGGACTTCCTCCCCATTCATCTGATCCTGTTTTATCTTCAGGTATCTTCAGGGCTGGCTGCAAAGTCCTCCTCTGTGGCCTAACAGGACTGCTCCTCCCTTGGGGGGTGGGGAGGTCAAAGAGCCAGCCATTGAGTTCCTGTTAGAAATAGTCCTTGTTCCCCTTACTATGGGAAACCAGTTGGTTACTGAGCTACCACGGGCTACATCCGAGCAGAAGTTCTAGGTTATATCCATACATGGTCCTTAGTTGAATGTAAGTCTCAGAAAAGACCCTGTGCCCAGATACGTTTGGTCCTTGTGGAGCTCCTATCCTTTCCCCATCATACTAACTCCCCTTCTTTCATTCTTTCCCTGTACTTTGCCGAAGGTTTGGTTATGAGTCTTTGTATCTGCTTTGAAAACACTGCTAGTTAGAGTCTTTCAGATGCCTTTATTTATTTATTTTTAATTAAATTTTTTATTTTTTATATTAATTACAGTTTATTCACCTTGTATCCCAGCTGCTGTCCCCCTCTTTCATCCCCTCCCAATCTTCCCTCATCTTCTCCTATGCCCCTCTCCAAGTCCACAGATAGGGTGGTCCTCCTCCCCTTCCATCTGACCCTAGCTTATCAGGCCTCTTCAGAACTGTCAGCATTGTCCTCCTCTGTGGTCTGGCCAGGCTGTTCCTCCATAAGGGGGTGGCGGTCAAAGAGCTAGCCACTGAGTTCATGTCAGAGACAGCCCCTGTTCCCCTTTATTACTTTCGCTCTAGAGTACAGCTTGAGATCAGGGATGGAGATACCTACAGAAGATCTTTTATTGTAGAGGATTGTTTTAGTGATTCTGGGTTTCTTGTTATTCCATATGAAGCTGAGAATTTTTCAAGATCTGTAAGAATTTGTGTTGGTAATTTGATGGGAAGTGCATTGAATTTGTAGATTGCTTTTGGCAAGATGGCCATTCTTACTATGTTAATCCTGCCAAGCCATGAGCATGGGAGATCTTTCCATCTTCTGATGTCTTCTATTTCTTTCTTCAGATACTGGAAGTTTTTTCATACAATGCTTTGACTTGCTTGATTAGAGTTACACCAAGGTACTTTATGTCCTTGTGGCTATTGTGAAGGGTGTTGTTTCCCTAATTTCTTAGCCCTTTTGTCTTTTTTTATATGCTCAAGTATACAAGGACATTTGCTCAACCATGTTTATAGCAGCTTTATTCGTAATAGCCAGAATCTGGAAACAACCCAGATGTCCCTCAATTGAGGAATAGATACAGAAATTGTGGTACATTTACACAGTGGAATACTACTCAGCAAATAAAAACACGGAAATCATAAAATATGCAGGCAAATGGTAGGAACTAGAAAGATCATCCTGAGTGAGGTATTCCAGAAGCAGAAAGACACACGGTGTATACTCACTTATAAGTGGATATTAGACATATAATATAGGATAAACATACTAAAATCTGTGCACCTAAAAAAGCTAAGCAAGAAGGTAACATGACCAATCCTTATTCAGAAAGGCAAACAGGATGGACCTTGGAAGAGGGAGAAAACAGGGACCAGGACAGGAGCCTACCCCAGAGGGCCTTTGAAAGACTCTATCCAGCAGGGTATCCAAGCAGATGCTGAGACTCATAGCCAAACTTTGGGCAGAGTGCAGGGACTCTTAGGAAAGGGGGAGATAGAAAGACCTGGAGGGGACTGGAGCTCCACAAGGAGAGT